TCTGCCTAACCCACCTCACAGGGTTGTTTTGGGGATTTAAATGAGGACAGGGAGATACTTGGAGAAAAAGGTGATATATAAATGTCAGGGAACTGCCATCGGTTCAGGAGGGAGAGAGGTAAAGCCGGATGGATTACAGAGAGCCCCCAAAGATCGTGGAAAGCAGCTCCTCCTCAGTGGGGGAGAGTAACCACACCTACAGTGGAGAGGAGCTGCAGGGTTCGGAGGAGGCAAGGCGTTGCCAGGACACCTTGCCTGGGCAAAGCAGGGAGGGGAGAGGTCCACTGTTACCCACGCCCTCCTTGCGCAGTAAGCTTTCGCGCTGAGAGAGGAGGCGCAGACTGGGCGTCAAGAAATTACTTTGCTGGGGAAAGTTTAAGCCCCGCCCACTCACGGATTCTGCCAGTGAATGAGCCAGCCATGGGAGAGTGGCGCTCTGGACAGATAAAGTTTATTTTGCATCAAAAGCAAGGCTTCACAGCTGAGCAGGGAGGTATTTTCCTGCTTGCTCTCAAGCAACCCCTTGGAAACCTAACAATAAATGTAATAAATAAATACATTTAAGTTTCAGGCTTTAATAAACAATCTGGAAAATATCTGCAAATGCCATTGCTTGCATACATTTTATGTCTGGGCAGCTAGGGAAGAAGCGTTCTCCCTCATTTGGTAGATTTTTGGGTGCGGGGACCTTCTTGTTGTGGCAGAGCATCTCAGCACGCCACCCCCCTACTTGCATTCTGAATATCTTCTTCCTTAAAAATGAGAGTTATAGCCAAATCCCTGAATGCCAAGGCCCACCCAAAGGAGAAAACTCATGGAATGACGCATAAACTTGTCCTTCTTAACGATTAGCCAACAATTGGCTTCCATTGTGTTTATAATATTTCTCTTCCCTCCCTTTGGACCACTTACTGTAGTTTTATTGCCAATCAGCTTAGCATTCTGGTTGTGTGGCGCCGCTTGAGAGGGCAGTAATTCGAACTGAAGCCCTCATCAAAAGGGCATTATTTGTAAAACAGGGAAGAAATTTCAGCTATCGCAACATTTTTGTTAATTAAATCTGTCAGGAATGTAACGGAGACGAGAGTGTTCTTTTTTTAAAATGACAATCTTGCCCTTTTTGCCATTCTTCCAGGAGCTGCAGTGTGTAAGCCTCATTAGTGTGAGTTAATTGTCAACCCCAGGTTTGGAAGAGAGATAGCAAGTGGAAGGACTTCTGCATGAAATCCTGCTCAGGTGCAAACTTGCATGTGCATGAATTGCCCAGTCTCTCAGCTCAGAACTGGGCCTGGAGGACTGAAGCAAGTCAGATGCCCTTGACTCACATTGGGGCAACCTATCTGTGGGGTAGGCAAGGGAGGGCAGTTCCATACCAATGATTTAGTTATTGAATTCATCTGTTAAATTAATATTTTATGTCTTTCTTTTAAGCCAGTACCACGTCATTGTTAAGATTGCTGGACTCATACTAAGACTAATGTTCTACACTCAGGTGTGCAGTTCACTGGGAAACCTTGGGATACTCCTTGTGTCTCAGCCTAACCTACCTCACAGGGTAGTTGTGGGGATAACCTGAGTGTGTATAGAGAATGACATAGGCCACCGTGAGCACTTGGCAGTTTCTATCTTTTTTTTAAGTCCTCATGAAAATTCATCAACATCTATATTATTAATTGCTTTGGGATACCTTATGGAAAGTAGTTCAAAAATAAAAATAAAATAGTGTGATTTATCCTAGTATACAAATTTTTGCATGCAATTTCCCCCAATGAGCAAAAACATCCTTGCAAAGCAAACTTCCCTAATACAATACAATTTCCCTTCATGCATAAAGTACTTTTGTATATGTGTTTGTGTACATGTTACTTGGCTTACATGGCTGGAGAACTGCAATGCAAAATTCGTAGAAGTGCCAATTTCCAAGGATGGCTGTGTTCCAGCTATTGTATTGTTTCAGAACGTGCAAATTAGGGAGGCTCGCCTTTAAATGCGAACCGAATCAAATTTCTCCCCTGATCCCTCTCACGTTGCTTTTGCTGTGTTGGCAGCACCAAAAGGATCTCTCCAGACCATAAGCCTGGGCAGTGTGTATGGAGGTCCTGGGTTGCCCAGATGCCAGGACCTCCATCTTGGCCTTGCTGATGTGTTCCAAAGGGAAGCAGAACCACCTTGGCTTTCAAGTTACAAGAAATGAGATTCTGACTAAACATCAAGATGATCTTTCTGACAGTAAGAGCCGTTTGACAGTTTAACACACTCCCACAAGAGGTGGTGGACTCTCTTTTCTTGGAGATTTCTAAGCAGAGGCTGGATGGCCATCTGTCAGGGATGATCTAGTTGAGATTCCTGCTTTGCAGGAGGTGGATTAGATGACCCTTGGGTTCCCTTGCCAGCTCTATGATTTTAACTCTTGGATAGAGAGGCATGTGTTATTATTGGTGGAAACTATCCTTCTGTACCACGATAAAACTTGCATTTGTTTCTCTGCTCACCTTTCCCTCTGGCCTCACCCACCACAGGCATGTGGCCCTCGGAAGGTTGCCTGGAATGAAATGTGGCCCTCAGACTGAAATAAGTCCCTCACCCTTAGTTTAGGAGAACAAGGAGCAGGAGCAGGTCTGCAAACCGAGGCAACGCATTTGGGAAAGAAGCATGCTTGGCAAAATTCCACCCTCCTTCCTGCCACTTGTCAAACTTGATGGGTTGTGTGCTGGTAGATAAATAATTGCGATGCGTGCCACTTTTCACCATGGCTGCACGTAAACAAAAGGCATGCTTCTTGTTTTTTTGTTTTGTTATTATTATTTTTTAGGAGACTCAGAATGCCCTCTGACAGGTGGTGCTGAAACTTGTATAATTAATACCATAAATGCTGTAATAAATTTCGGCAGCAGGACCGGGTTGTGTGCAAAGCACGGAATAATGGGCTGTAATAAATTTGTCATTGGAATACCTGTTGAAGGGTGGCACAGCAAATGGGGAGGGGGTTAGCAGCACCAAGTCAGATGCCTCCAAATTGCCTCTCTGGAAAGCGGAATATTTTCACATCAAAAGAATGAGCAGATGGCAGGTGCAGGAAGCTGGCAAGGCAGCCTCAAATGTGGCGTGGTAAGATGTTGTTGCTCACTCTAACTTCTGCTTCTGTTGATTTTTGGGGCTGCCCTTCAGGATGTGTTGTCCATGGCAGCATGAGTGGGGAATCTCAGGCCTGGGGGCTGAATGTGACCTGGGCTTTGGGATTCTTGCCAGGCTGCTTTGTCTCCCAGGCCACACCCCTTTCAGCCCATTGGTTGCTCTTTGTCTTGCTGGAATGTGTCATTGAACCCTGATAAAGCCTCTTGCTTACCTGGCCGGAGAGATGCGTGCGTAGAAAATTTCAGGCTTCTGTGGATGGAATGCATCATATGGAATCATAGTAAGAGTTGTACCTCTTGATCTGCCCACTCTAGGTGAGAAGTTGGGCAGGTAGGGGCTGGTTCAGGGCAGCCAGCCAGTGAATGATAGGAGTTGTAGTCCAACAACATCTGGAGGACACCAAGCGAGCCAGCATAGTACAGTGGTTAGAGTGTCAGACTATAACCTGGGAGAGCAGGGTTCGAATCTCCGCTCAGCCATGAAGCTCACTGGGTGACCTTGGACCAGTCACTGCTTCTCAGCCTCACCTACCTTACAGTGTTGCTGTGAGGATGAAATGGGGAGAAGGAGAACCATGCGCCCCACCTTCAGCTCCTTGGAAGAAAAGTTGGTATAGAAATGTACAGTAATAAATAAATAATAAATAACAATGCCTGAATGGCCTCTTAATGATAAGTAGTTTAATTAATGAAGGTAAATAAAAATAAGTCCCCCAACTCTTTGGTGGTGGGGGGGGTTGTTGATACCACCCCACCCCCACCCCCAAAAATCTGGTTGCCCCAACCACTCTGAGTGGCTTTCAACATGTATAAAAACATAATAAGCACAAGGAGTAGTGTTCTGTTAAGTTTTACTCAAAGTAGACCCATTATAATTAATGAACATTACTAAGTTGGGCTAGAGGGTAAGACACGAACCAATGGATTCAGATCAAAAGAAAGGAGATTCCAACTAAACATTAGGAAGAACTTTTTTTACTCTAAGAGCTGTTTGACACTGGAACAGACTGCCTTGGAAGGTGGCGGACATTTTTAAACAGAGATGGGATGGCTGTCTGTCAGGGATTCTTCAGCTGTGATTCCTACAACACATGTGGTTAGACCAAATGACTCTTGGTATACCTTCTAACTCTACAATTCTTTGATTCTGTGAATAGATGTACTGAGTTAAACTTAGTTGACTACCACCATGGAAACAAACTTTCAGTGAAATTTGAACTTCAGGGTGCATTATTAAAGAGTAACTGGGGCAGGCGTGGGGTGTGTGTCCACAAATATATCCCATCTGTATTGCTGTGTCGTTTGGGATAAGAAATAGGTTAAGGTCTCAGTTTTAGACTTGAAATGTTTTCAGCTAAATTCCTACAACAGTCACCTTCCAAGTCACCGAATAAAATTATCTTAAAATATAACAGCAGCTGTTTCAACATATTGGCCCAGCAGACAATCTCCGATCCAGAATGTTGAAACAGCTGCCCAAGGTTAATGTCCCTGATTACTTATTCATTTATCACCTTTTGAGTTTTCCTCTCTTTTGGGGGGTAAACATTGACCCTGTCATCTGCTTTGGCACATCTACAAAATGGTGATGCAATTAACCAAGCGTATGACAGAAATTATGTAATTGCTCCAAATGACAAATAATTGGGATCTCAAGGGAAGTAATAGTACCACTCTATTCTGCCTTGGTCAGCCTGCACCTAGAATACTTGTGCAGTTCTGGGTGCCACAATTTAAGAAATATATTGATAAGTTTGAATGAGTGCAGAGAAGAATGACCAAGACAATTAAGGGTCTGGAAGGGCTTCATTCCGGACGGGGGCGGGGCTTTGCTGAGAGTGCAGGAGCTGTAGCAGGTTGTGCACCATGACTCTGGAGGCCGACTTCAACACCGTGGCAGAAAAAGTAAAAAAACTAAAGACCAAACCAACTGACGATGAACTAAAAGAACTGTATGGACTCTACAAGCAGTCGACCGTGGGAAATATTAATATTGAGTGTCCTGGGATGCTGGATTTGAAAGGCAAAGCAAAATGGGAAGCATGGAACCAGAAGAAAGGTATGTCAAAAGAAGATGCCATGAAGGCTTACATTTCTAAAGCAAATGAGATGATAGAGAAATATGGATTGTAGATTTTCTTTGGACAATTAGTTCAAAGGCAAGGGCACTACTCATTTTCAGACTGATGTGAACATCATTATTTGCAATAAACTTTTTTCTTCTTTAAAAAAAAAATTAAGGGTCTGGAAACCCATCCTTATGAGGAACAGTTGAGGGAGTTGGGTATGTTTAGCTTGGAAAAGAGGAGGCTGAGAGGAAATATGATAGCAATCTTCAAATATCTAAAGGGCTGTCTCATGGAAGATGGGGCAAGCTGCTCTGGAGGGTAGGGGCTGAACCAATGGCTTCAAGTTGCAAGAAAGGAGATTCTGATTCAAAATCAGGATGAACTTTCCAACAGTAAGAGCTGTTTGGCAGTGGAACAGGCTCCCACGAGAGGTGGTGGACTTTTCTTCCTTGGGGGTTTTAAAGCAGAGGTTGGATGGCCATCTGTCAGGGATGCTTTAGTTGAGATTCCTGCATTGCAGGGGGTTGGACTAGATGAGCATTGGGGTCTGTCCCAACTCTACAATTCTATGACTCTGTGAAATCTGGAAGGAATACCCTCCACCGTTATGTCCGGTTCTCACATAGAAGCTTCTCTGGAGATAGGATTAGATGCCACCAGAACCACACGGCAGCCCTTGGGCCAGATTTGGCCTGTGCAGTCTTCCCAACCATCCCACTGACTTCTCAGCCTCTTTCTCTTCTCCATATTGGTCTTCCTATGGGGGAAAAAGAGTGATATATTTACAGTGGTACCTCGGGTTAAGAACTTAATTTGTTCTGGAGGTCCGTTCTTAACCTGAAACCATTCTTAACCTGAGGTACCACTTTAGCTAATGGGGCCTCCCGCTGTTGCTGCACTGCTGCCGTGCGATTTCTGTTCTCATCCTGAAGCAAAGTTCTTAACTCGAGGTACTATTTCTGGGTTAGCGGAGTCTGTAACCTGAAGCATCTGTAACCTAAGGTACCACTGTATTGACTTTGTCCTGCAAGTAAGACACTGTGAATAGCATTAAACTAAACCCTACTTGAAATGAGTGGACCTAACTTAGTCCTGTTCATGCGTTTCAGCGGGTCTGTTCGAAATCCCCTTCCATTGAAATACATGATCTTGACTAAGCTAGGCCCATTAATTTAAACCGATTGATTCAGAGTGTATCTTAGTTGAATACCGCCCTAAGGTTGCTCACAGTGCTGCACAGGAATGCTGTGAATTTGGGGTGTTCACATGTGCCAATGGCTGGAGTATCAAACTGGAGTATCAAACTAGGACCTGGAGTGGCCACAGTTCAAATCCCACTCAGCCATGGAGCTCACTGGGTGACCTGGAACCAGTCTCTCTCTCCCAGTCTAACCTATCCCTACCTCACAGGGTTGTTATGAGGATAAAGTGGAGAGGAGAAGAGCCTCATATACTACCTCAAGCTCCTTGGAGGAAAGCTGGGATATAAATGTCATAAACAGACCATCAACAGGTGTACAGTCTATGTGCCTATGTATATGAAATAATTGAACTTTATGCTCATACAGTTATTCACATGTCATGTTCAACAACTGTCTAGTATGTTTACTTGTGTACATGGAAGCTGAGCTGTACAAATCAAGAAGTGTACACCCTTCCACATTTACATGCCTAGAGGCAGCTTGTAGCTCTGTTAGGTGTAATGTGTCGACCAGCTTTTTCTCATAAAGTAAGTGAGGAATCTTTGCATAGCAGAAGCCACAGAAAGAACAGCCATAGCAACATATATAGGAAGTTGCCTTACTCTGAGTCAGACCACTGTCCATTTAGCTGAGCAGGGCTTTTCCCCCAGCCTGAATGCTGTGCGCCAAAGGCTGCGTGCAGAACAACAATCTTTGTTTTGTGACTGTGGCTGGCATGGCGAGTGGTGCATTAACTGGGTGCTCCCCTCAACAAGTTCCAGCACCTCTTTTTGTAGAAAAAATGTCCTGTAGCTCAGTTTTGTCTACACTGACTGGCAGCAGTGGCTTTCCAGGCTTCAATGCAGAGAGTCTCACCTTTCCTGCTTGAAGATGCTGCCGGGGTTCAAACCTGGGACCTTGTGAGTGCAAAGCAGATGCTCTGCTGCTGAGCCACAGCCCTCGTTCTCCTTTGGCTCCTCTCTCTTCCGGTAACACCTCAAGCCAGGAAACTTGCAATGTGATGTCACTGTGTGGAGAGATTTCATTGACTGCTGCTCAAAGCAGGTGGGGAAACCCAGGTACATTTGACGTGCTAGCTAGGACTTGCCGATCAGAAGGTCGGCGGTTCGAATCCCCGCGAAGGGGTGAGCTCCCGTTGCTCGGTCCCAGCTCCTGCCAACCTAGCAGTTCGAAAGCACCTCAAAGTGCAAGTAGATAAATAGGTACCACTCCGGCGGGAAGGTAAACGGCGTTTCCGTGCGCTGCTCTGGTTCGCCAGAAGCGGCTTAGTCATGCTGGCCACATGACCCGGAAGCTGTATGCCGGCTCCCTCGGCCAATAAAGCGAGATGAGCACCGCAACCCCAGAGTCGGTCACGACTGGACCTAATGGTCAGGGGTCCCTTTACCTTTCTAGGTGTTAAACTGTGGGAGAGAGGAGAATCATAGAATCATAAAATTGTAGACTTGGAAGGGACTTCACGGGTCATTAGTTCAACCCCCTGTGATGCACATATCTCAGCTAAATCATACATGACACATGATCATCCAACCTCTGCTTAAAAACCTGATCATCTTCATTGCCCTCCTCTGCACACGTCCCAGCTTGTCAATATTCTTCTTAAATGGTGGTGCCCAGACCTAGACACAGTATTCCAGGTGTGGCCTGACCAAGGCAGAATAGAGTGTTGCTATTATTTCCCTTGATTGGGACACTATACTTTTGTGGAAGCAGCCTAGAATAGCATTAGCGTTTTTTGCTGCAGCATCACAACCAGTCAACATAACACATTTTTTGGGGGGGTAACCTAGCACAAGTAAAAAATTTGGGATTGAATTTTTCATCTCAAAGATTTGGGCACAATAAAAATGGCCTCTAAAATAGAAGTAAACAGGTGCCGAGGGAGAGAAGCTGTGAGGGTAAATTGCTAGCAGATAAAATTGATGCTAAAAATAGATTTTTGGAAGCAGATTACCTCCCCTCAGTCCATTGTTTCTCTGGCAGGCAGTGTGCCCTCTGCCTTGTAGCTGAACAAAATTGCTACTTTGGGCAAGCAAAGAGGAGTCTTGCTGTTTTGTGTTGTTTTCCCACTTTTACCAGTTCTGCCATTTTCCAGGTCCAGTCTTACTTTATATATGAATTTGCAAGTCCCCTAAAGTGACAGCTCCCAAACTGTGGTCTACGGACCACCGATGGTCCATGCCCTGTCAATGAATTTGTCATTGAAGACAAGAGATGCCACATCCATTACATTATATATTCACATTGATTTTTAACTGTAGTTTCAATCACTCCTTTTATTTGTAATGTATTGCATTTTGCCATATTACAATCTGAATGCAATAAGGTACAATATATAAGAATTGAAAAGAGCAATAAGTGACAGTTCATGATCCTATGGGGGTTACAGAATCCCTGCTATAAAATATGCTCCTGGCACACTTCAATTTTTTCATTGAAAAACACTTTAATTTTGGAGAGTAAACAACTTGAAGCCCAAATCCTATGAGGAAAGGCTAGGAACAATAATAATAACTTACACAAGTAACTCGAAACTTACGTGCACTTAACTTGCATGCTTTCAATTTATGCGCTTGGCAAACATATGCATTTTTAAAAAAAAGTGATTGGAAAGTGGGAGGACGTCCAGGAAAAAAGGGCTTTGGCAACCCCACTCATCTATCAGGCTTCAAGGTATCCAATCCCTCCCCCTCATGACAGGCTACTAGTAAAAGATAGACAAGAAGCTCTTACCAAGTCTTTTATTCAATGTTCACAGAGAGAGGCTTAGAAATGTTGCTTCTCAGGGTAATGGTGTTGCTCTGAGTAATCTCCTCCTCCCTTCCCTTCACAGTCATCAACAGCACCACCACCCTTACGGTGGCTGCTTAAGGTCATTTGCCTCTTAGCTCTCTGCTCTCCTACTTTCACTGTTTGCCGGGTTCTGGGAGAAGGAATGCTTTCTAGTGATAACGTGCCAGCCAGTTTCTCCAGCTCAGCTCCTCCTTTTCCTTCTTCTCCCATTATCTCCCAGCGTTGTCCCTCTTCTGTCTCAGAGCTGTGATCTTCTGCAAACCATTGTTGTAAATCTATACAGTCATACCTCAGGTTGAATGTGCTTCAGGTTGAGCACTTTCGGGTTGTGCTCCGCGGCAACCCGGAAGTAATGGAGCACGTTACTTCTGGGTTTCACCACTCGCGCATGCGCAGATGCTTAAAATGATGTCACGCGCATGCGCAGAAGTGGCAAAACGCGACCCGCACACGCGCAGCCGCACCGTCGCGTCTTACGTTCTGTTCAGGATGCGAACAGGGCTCCGGAACGGATCCTGTTTACATCCTGAGGTACCACTGTACTGTCTTGCTCTCCTCTGGAAGTTTCAGGAGAAGGGGGGTGGCAGTCTCCACCGTTCCTCCGCAGTCCAGTCCCTGACACCATCACTGAACCCAATGTGCTTTCACTGTACACAGTTTTGGCTACACCCACTGTTCCCAGATGTGTAACCCCGGTGTAAGTTGAGAGTCACCTGTCTATGTCATTTAATGTCAACAGAGGCTGCTAATTGGTTTAGAAAGGATAAAAAAACCAATTAAGCAAATATTAAAATATGAACATCCATAATTAAAATGCACAATAAAGCATCTCAAATAAACAGACAGACAGAGCAGTTGAAACAGGAGACTCTAGTCAGGAGATAACTGGCGTGTTTTCAAAAGCCTATGGCAGAGCTGGAGAACCTGTGTAGCTCTCCAGATCTTGTAGTGGGAGTGATTTTTATTAAATGAATTTCTATACTGCCCTCCATCTGAGAATCACAGGGAGGTTTGCAATATAAAAACTCAAAAATACCTAGCAAATAATAACAAACAAAGCAATACTCCACGCCTCCAGTTTAAAAGGTCATAGATTGTCTAATCAGCAAAAGGCCTGGTTAAAGGTCAATGTTTTTGCCTGGCACCTGAACTTATGTAATGAAGGTGCCAGCTAAACCTCCCAGAGGAGAGCATTCCACAAACAGGGAGCCACTGCAGAAAAGGCCCGTTCTCGAGTTGCCACACTCTGGAGTTCCTGGGAAGGAATCACACAAAGATGGGCCTCAGGTGATGATCTGGGCTGCCCAAATGACAAGGCCCCCCCTCAGCCCCTCTGAAGTGGTCCAAAGGAGAGCAGGTCAAAACGTTTGGCATCAGCTTGGCTGCAGAGTGGCTGAAAAGAGGCATACAAAGTGCTATCCAACCATCTTAGGGATTCCACTCTGGATTTGTGTAGGATTTTTCTTCTCTCAAAGATGGGCTACCTTCTCAGGTTGCTGAGCTGCATTGTACTGCACAATAGATAAATTTATATTCATCACCCCACTTTTTGCCCCTGGCCTTCCTCACCCCTGGCATGTGGCCTCCAGAAGGTTATTCAAAAGGAAATGTGGCCCTCAGAATGACAGATGTTCCCCACTCCTTATGTTGACATTACTGAGCTTACATATTAGTTTAAGAAGAAGAAGAAGAAGATTCCACTGGACAACCATCTTTCTTTAGGTCAGTTTCCTGGCCAGTTTCCTGGCCTCTCTGCTCTTGTTTTCATTATCCAACAAAAGCACGTTCCCCATAAAGAAAACAGTTTTAACAATGACCAACTGAAGACTTCAGAGAGAAGCAAATGACCTCAGAGAGCAGCGTCTTGCAAAGAGCCATTCCAGGCGAAACAATTCACCGAGAGTGATTTTTTATTCTCAAGTGCCTGGTCTCTGAGGTCAAATACATTTGTGCACTGTGGGGACATGTTGAAAGGAAGAACTCTGACTCCCTCTTTCCCTCACCCAGTCCATTTTCTGACTTTAGCAATGCAAGTAGACATGTGTGAGAAGTTAAGGGTGGTGTGTGTGTGGGACCCTGGGACCCTGTCTCCAGTGGGCGTGAGTTCCATAGTGTAACTCTGTTTTGCATGAAGAAGAACTTTCTTTCTTGCCTTTCCCTGATGTGCATCACTTTTTGCAGGTTTACACTGACATGCATTTGCCATTTTGTTACCCGTGACTTCTTGTATGTATTACTTGCCTGGAGAGCTGCATTGCAAAGGAGAAATTCACATTTCAGAGGGTGGCTTTTTTGCAGTTCACGTAGTATTTTGGTATGCACATATTAGGTAGGTTCACTTTTAAATGTGCCCCCTTGAAAATTTCTCCTGCTCCCACTAAGTGAACATAGGACTCCACTCACTCCAAAAAGCGACTTCATAAGGTTGCTTGTGGGAAAAGATAGTAGAGTTTTTATTGCTGAGCAAAATAATCGAAACACATTTTTAATTGAGGGTGTACATCTAATGTATGCATTTTGGTGAACATTGTTTAGTTAGAGAACTGCATTGTAAAATTCGAATAGGTGTGAAGGATGGCTGTGTTTTGGTTCTCATATTGTTTCATAAAGTGTGAATATGATAATTTGCCTTTAAGTGCAAGCTGAATCAGATTTCTCCCCCATTTCTTCCTCTCATGAATGATTGGGGGCAGTTAGAGGGGGTTGATTCTTTACTGTTCCTTGCCTAATGCCACTTCTGGCTCTTAATCTGGGTTGCAGCCGGATCCTATTTAAATGTCTTAGGTAAACCAGCTGCTGTCACCTTGTTTTCCATTGTCTTCTCATCAGCTTGGATATTTCATGCGTCCTTTGAGATGACATCAGAAGACGCTTCAAAATACAGCTTTATACATTTAGAGTTACATTTAGTAAAGGCTTCTGGGAGTTCCTCCTGGGTGCATTCAGCCATCTGTAGTGTTACCAAAGTAAATGCCTGTTAACATCTTCCACTTAAGAGACATGGCAGATGAGGCCCAAGGAAAGAAAGACTTACCAGCGCCTTCTCTGTAACTTCTGTTGTATTCATGCTGATCCCAATGTTACAATCCTGTCCCTATTTATTGGGAGTAAGCCCCACTGAAATAGATGGGGCTTATTTCTGAGTAGGAAAAATGTTTCTACCTATCACTTAATATCAAAGATGGGGCTAGGCGTGCTTCCCTGGTGAAGCTTTCAAGAAACAGAGAGCCACCACTGAAAAGGCCTGTTCCTGTGTCACCACAAATTCAATCCTGTGCATGAGAAGCTGGTGTAAAGCAAGCTGGGGTAAGTCACATCAGCCTAAGGTTACACCACATCCAAACTCTTTTCAGCAGTGGGGCTGCTGATGGTGCTGTGCCTAAACTTGGCAGAGAGGTAACAAGCCTATAAAAGAATGTTTTAAGCCAGGTTGCCTGGTCATATGACCAAGCTGAACCAACTTAGGGTCCAGCCTAAGTTCCCCACTTTCTGGTCCCACCACACTATGCCCCAGAATGCCCTCTTTGGGGACTTACAGAGGCCTCTGCTCAGCCAACAGGGCAGTGGCTAAGCAAGTTAAGCCGGTGTATCTTTGGCTGAGCTGGGGTTGGAGACTTAACGGCCGGCTGAGCCAGAGATTGTCTGCATCCTAAACTGCTCATCCCAGCAGATATTGGCATAGGATTGCACTATTTTGCAAGTGGCTTTAATTTAAGGGAACACCTGGCTGCAAAATCCTACCAGTGCTCAAATAATAGCCTCAGGTAACAAAAGCAACAGGCACGTCCTCTGAAGTAGGATGTCAAAATGAGGCTCCTCCAAAGGAAACAGATGAGGTCTTTCCTGAGAATTACAAGCAGGGAGATATAATAATAATAAAATAGTGGGACTTCATTTTGAACTCAAGCAAGATTGAGGTCATTCTTAATATAAAAAAAGTTGGGAAGGAGAAGAGGAGATAATCAGATGTAGAGACAGGACTGAACAAGCAAAGAGCTGTTCAGCATGTGTGTTTTGGAAAAAGTCTTCAGGCTCTATGGGAAAACAAACAAGTCATGGTTGAAGGAAGAATTTGTCATGAGAAGGAAACTGAAAATGATGTTCTTATGTGGACTCTGCATTTGGAAGGTGGGGAAAACACAATTAAAATTCTTCAGTGCATGAACACAGGCTCTGTACTGAGACAAGCAGCTTGCTTGTTAGTAAGTTGCTTTGGGCTGCTTTAGGCAAGATAAAGTCACCAACAAATTTAATAAATAATACTAGTGTGATGCAAAGTGAATTTGCATGGTCCGTTTTAATAAGCATTGTTTACATCTAGGGTTGAGGGCACAGAATTCTTGGCTTTCCTTACATTCCTACCACACGTGAATGAACGAACTGCTTTCCCCACCCACCCTCCAACCAAGAGGAGACACAGTTTTCATAATATGGGAAAGCCTTTAAGCATCTACTACTTATAATGATGATGTGGAGAAATGCAGGATACTAAACCAACGCTCACAGTCACAGAGAATCTTGTGGCTGCTGAGATTTCAGCATGCGTTGCTCACATGCAACTTCCTTATGTTAATAAGGACCAGAAACTTGCTTGCTTTGAGATTCTTAGGAAAACTGGTTTCTCTGCCTGATATTGCACTGAATTATGGTATGTACCAGTTGTGGGGAATCTTTGGCCCTCCAGATGTTGCTGGACTACAGCTCCCATCATCCCTGGTGATGCTTGCTGGGGCTGATGGGAGTTATAGTTCAGCAACACCTGGAGGGCCAAAGGTCCCCCACACCTGGTGTATATACACACAAGTGGTCCAACCACCTCTGTGTTCTATATGGCATTTATCCAAAGAGAGTTGGATTATGGGTATATCCAGCCACCAGAAAATTTGCTTGAATTAATGCTTATTCAGTAAGGTGCACTGTAAAAGAAGAGATCATTTCTGGAAGAAATAACAATTTCTGGGAAGGAGATAAAAGAAGTTCCCTTCCCTTCTGCCCCCTAACTTTTATTTTTCTCCTCTCCAGCTGGTTTCTTTGCGTATTAACTGTTCTGAGTTGTACCTCATTATTAACAGTGATCCATTTTGACAGATGGGACAGTCAAGATCCTGCAGGCTATCATTTCAAAGTTAAAGGTCAGTCCTTTCCCCACCTCACATCTACCTGCGTAACAGCTTTACTTCCCATTAGGATTCCCCAGGGAATATCAGGTAGGGGCGGATTTATCCTGTGAGAGAAAATTAATATTAAATCTCACACTGAGAGAGAGAGAGAGAGAGAGAGAGAGAGAGAGAGAGAGATGGTATAATTGTGCTACCTTCAGTTTTCCGCCTCAGTAGAACTTGTGAGCCACATTTAATATTATTCCAGGGGGAAGCCTAAGTTTGGATAATGAAGATGATTTAGCAGTGGCATCTTAGCAATTAACATATGCTGCGAAATATAGACCCCAAGATAAAATAGGATTTCATATCCTTCCTCCTGGTCAAACACATGGTGCAGAAGAAGAAGAGATAATCTACCACCTGTAAGCCATGAACAGGCTGGAGGTATTTTAAGAGCTGGCATGGCACAGCAACTAGAAGGGAGCTCAGGGTGCTGTAAAGACAACTGCGTCACCGAAATGCTAGATTTCTAGATGGGTGCCTTTAAAAGAGGATTAGAGGTATGAATGGAGGATAGGGCTCTCAATGGCTACTACCTATGAAGCCTATGTTCTATCTCCATCTTTGGAAGCAGGTGGAACCCCTGTTGCTGGGAATCACAAATGGGGAGAACTGCACTCAGACCTTGCCTGCAGGCTTGCCATCGTCATCCGGTTGACTACAGTGAGAACAGGATGTTGGAGTGGGTGGGTCTCTACCATGACCCAGCAGGGCTCTTATGTTAATGTTTGGTACTGATGTGCTGCCATTGACTGACTCAAGCCCCCTCCCCGGTTGATTTCTCACCCCCTCCATAGGCAATGTCAAGTGTGAATGTACGGCAATTAAGTCGATGATTCCGCCTCTCACCGTTGTTTCGGAAGTATTGCTTCACACTTTATAAATGCCTCATCTCACTTTAACATTTCCGCTGTTATTGGCGATGGAAGTTGCAACCTTTAAACTGTTCCTTGGCGGCCCTCCAGAGTAAATTGTCTTGAGCACAGAGGCCAAAATGGCAAGTTTCCCCCACCCCTTAAAAGAAAAATTCCATCTGAGTCACCGTGGCCTGCGTGGCAGAAAATAAACATAGCTTTCCTTGCGATTGCCATTCATTAATATGTATTTGAAATCCTAGAAATACCATTCCATCCAAGCAGGAAGAGAAAGTGTGTTAGAGAAATTATGGGGGCTTGTAATCATTGTAGCAAAGCATCTAATTTAGATATTAAGCTCACTTATCAGATGTATACTGCCTTGCCCTTTGATCAGAGCAGGGTGGGGGTGGGAATAAAGCAGTGAATAATTGATACAGAAAAAGAAGGGATGAACACAATCTTCCACTATAATTTCATTTTAAGGACTTGCCTTTAGAAAGGCTGGCCTGCGACTTCTGGGAGTTTCCCTTCCCACCCACTGTTACACCAGGACTGCAGAACCAGTGGCCAGTGGAGGATTGCCTGTTAGGGCAAGTGGGGTACTGCCCCATCAACCCTAGTCTGTGCTGAACCAACTCCCATGTGTCAGCCTTCTTACTTACAAGTCTAAAAGGTGGCCCTGACTCTCAGCTTCTCTTCCTCCTTAGTCTCAGTGTTGTTGCCCATTGCAGAACTCAGCAGGAAGGAGGGGGTGGACAAAACTAGAATTAGGTGGCTTTGGCTGTCACTGGCTCAGGCTCCACCTATGGTTGGCCTCTCAATGAGCACCAGCGGTGGCCTGTGGCCCTCCAGGTGAAGCTGGACTTCACATTGCATCACCTCTGGCTATTGACCATGCTGGCTGGGGCTGATGGAAGTCAGAGCCCACCAACATCTAGAAGGCTAAAGGTTGCCCCATCACTGTTTTTACAGAATTATTTTCGAAAGGTGGGCCATCAGGGCAGGAGTGAGGCAGAGGAATAACAATAAAGGGACTCTCTTCTGCAGACAAATGGATTGGCTCAGTGCCTTCTTTGGCAAAGACAGTTGTTCCAAGTAAATGCCAAAAGGCATTTAGCTGTAGCATTTGTCAGCTGCGTAAGGTGGCCTCTCACTTTTCTTCCTAATTTATGGCAGATTGTTTTCTGCTGGGTTGACTGGACCACAGTGTGTTTGCATTAACCTCTTAACATGGAATGTAAAAAACCCTGTCTTGGACATCCATCTCAGCAGGCAGAAGCAGTGCTTGCATCAGAAGACTTTGGTGTGCTGGTAGATGGAACAACTAATGAATGGCCAAGCCAAGAGTCCATTTGGTCCATGGGGTAGCCAAGTATACTAGAAACAGAGACAGGTAGTGTGGAGATAACAATTTGCTGATTTCCTTGTTCAGTATCTGGGGCTTGTGTCAGAAATAGGCTTAACTGGGCAACAGCGAAAGTCAACACCCCTTTAGGGGGACGATTGTTAACCCCCGGGACCTACAGGGTCGTCATTAGTCCTCCTTGCTGGCACACAACCAGTAATAAGAGTGACCAAGATATTGTAGCATCCTCTACTGCCTTGCTCCAGGGGTGGTGAACTGAGGGCTGCATAGCCTTATGGGTGATCCTCAAGGGACTGCATGCCAATGGTGAGAAAGGCCGGAGACAAAATTGCATGTAGCAACTGATGTGAATCTTACCTTTGTACAGGAAGTTATATTCAAGCCGTGCAAAATCCAGAGGTTTCCAATCTACACACACTCTCTCCACCTGGGGAAGGAAGAGGCATAATCACAGTTCAATGACACATTGCCAGCCAGGAGGGACAAGGGCTGTAGAGTGTCCCAAGGGCCAGATAGAGAGGACATCCTTATAAGTAGAGCCCGCTGTGGCTGTTTTCTAGTCCTCATGGTTCTGAGAAAAGTTCTGAATTAAATAACAACAAGCTTCTGTGGAGCCAGAACATTGGTCATTTTGGCTTAGTAATGTCTTCAGCAGGCATGGGGAACCTGTGTCCTCTGTGTCCTGACTGGCAGCCACTCTTCAGAATTTCAGGCAGGAACCTTTTGTAGCCCTACCTAGAGAGGCTGAGGATTGAGACCATCCTTGTGTGGTGTGTCACCGAGCCATGGCCCTGCTCCACAATCTAGGATATTATGTGTCAGGCAAAGTTTGCTTTGAGAAGGAGCTATTTCTCCCTGCCTCTTTGTCAGTGTGGCTCAGTCCACCTCATTTGGTAACACTCTATAAACCCTAATTACTTGGGCTTCCTGCCACACTCACTGATTTAATAAAGTAGCTTCATTAATGTCCCATTTAGTTGTTGCCGATAATCCCAACTCTTGGCTGAGGCTTCCAGCTTGTTAATGGAGAATGGGAGAGGCAATCACAATTTGAACTGGATTCCCAACAAGCTTTTGGTAGACCTTCTGCCCCCAATTGACCATCTCAGCCATTTGATAATAGTTTTGTCTCTGGCCATACATGGGGACTTAAATAGAGCCATTATCCCTGCCGCGAGTTTCTGTAGCCTTCAACTCTTCCTCTGGAGTATTCCTCTCGGTGGTGCCATCTAATCAGCTTTAGGTTTTAATTAAACAGCTGTCATTTGCTTCCTAGTTCTGTTGCGACCTGATGTTGTATTAAATTTTAATTTAGCCAAGGCTGAATAAGAAGTAGATTCTCTCAGACAACAAAGAAACACTATTAGCAGGTTACAGTTGTAATTAAGAAGAGCCCAGCTGAAGTGCTAATGCAGTCGAGTTCAGAGGAGGAATTAGGAATAAACACAAAGATAATTATTATTCTGGAATGGCGGCTACAACTTGAGTTGCCTTCTCCCACTTGACTGGAGAGAATTTCATGTTCAAAGTGCACTTTGTACTTAAATTGTCATGGCCTCTGAGGGTTGAAACAAGATTACTTTGCTTTCTGGCTCACCTCTGGGACCTGGAACCTACAGGCTTTGTTTTCCATTCCTGATCCTTGCAGCCCCATACTCCTCTTTTCCCGCACTCCACAGGCTGCCTGCCATGTTGAAACAGGATATCATTCCCCACTTCAAAATACATGGAGGCATATCCCTACTTTTTGTCTCCTCTAGTCGTTTTATGTTTGACCACCAAGTATGGCAAGCTTGCACAGGGACACAACTGCTCACTCATCTGTTAATTTTCCTAAGAGCAGAGTTGCAAATCAATACCCTCCAGAATGTTCTATTGATTCTAGTGCAGATCAGTCTATTGAATATAATCTGACTAGAACAACTTTGTGTAAAGTCTTCACATTGGCTGAATTTCAGCATCACAGCATTTTCATGTAGTGCCCCCCACCCCTTTTTGGTGGTGGTGGTTGAGAAGCTCTCTTCCATTTCTTAAAAAGGCAATCTACAGCCTATTGAGGTGACAGGACACAAGAATCTAGCATATAAAAGACATTCTATCCAAATTTCTCCCATTGTGAAAAAGGGAAGGGGAAGATTGTGAACACTTGGTCCACCACAGTCGTAACATTTCTACCCACCACCAACACTCCCTCAGTAATTCCCATACCTGACATTCTTCCTTAGAACTCGCAGGACAATTTGTATGCACATTTCATCCAATAAAACCCCCATTTTTAAACACAATTTGACCTAATTATACATTTTTTAAAGCAGTTTCACCTAACACCATGCATTTTGGCCCACACTTTCCTCTAATCAACCTTTCTGATCTTTTGAGATCATCTGAAGAGGTCCTCCTGGTGGTTCCACATGTTCCTGTACATACTCAGAAGAACACGTTTGTTATAGTGGCACTAATGTTATAGAACACACACTCGCTGTGGATGTGTGACATGTGTCAACAATCTGTGGTTCATGACACATGTTACAAATGTTCGTGACAAACCTTTTTTTAAAAAAAATAATATTTATTAGTAGTTTCAAAGTTATAAAGAAAAAAGAAAAATTAAAAACAACACTGTAATACATAGAAAGAAAACAAAAGAAACAACAATACAACAAAAAAAGAAAAAGAAAAATGGAAAACACAAGAAAAAAGAAAACAACATAGATCCCAAATTACATATCTATAACTTCCATTTGCTTGTTTCATTGACCTCCTCACACCTCCCTTTTTGTATTCTAATTTAATTTAATTAATTATTTCAGCAAATTCTTTCCATCTTTCTCAATTTTTGTTAAAAAATTTATCTTGACAGTTTAACTTTATAATTAGCTCAGCAAATCCTTACCATCTTTCCCCATATTCTGTTATTCAAATTGCCTTAATTTATTTAACCTTATCTTACCCTAAATTACCTTAAAGCTTAAATCTTAGTTTTCAAATATACATAACTCCTGATATCATTTCTGCTAGAGTCATATAGTTTCATTCCAACATTTTCCCTAATATTCATTAATTTTTGCCAATTCCCTAAATAAAAAGTTTCTTTTATAAATTTTCTTCCAATCTTCATCCAGCGTCTCATCTTCCTGGTCTCGGATTGTGTCAGTCCTTACTGTCCAATCCATCTAGTCCATCAACCTGGAAGCCTTATGTCCGAGGCCCTTAAGTCTCTTCCATGTCCCTTCTGCATTTCTTCTTCTTCTTGTTTATACTTGCCCTTTTCCTTGACTTTTGTTGGTCTCTTTCTTAATTCCTTTCCTTTCTCATTGAGGAGTAGTTCTCTGGGGGGTTCCAACCCAGAATTGTCTCCATCTCCCTTCATCAAACCCACCCATTCCCCAAAGTCCCACTCCCCACAGTCCTTGATAAAATCCAAAAAATATTTAAAAACATATTTCAAGGTCTCTCCAAAGTTAGGAACCTCCTCAACACCAGATTCCCCCTGGCCCATTCCAACTTCAATCTTCAATGACAGCGGCTTATGCTCCTGTAGGGCCTCGGGTCTCTCCATTTGTATTATTTGAGGTGCAACCGCATCCTCTTCCATTATCCTCTGTTCTTGCCCAGTCAGTACTGATTCATGAGTTGGTCCCTGAATAATTTCTGTATCAATGTTCCCTGTTTGTCCACAGTTATTAACCGCAACAGTCAAATCCATTTTTTCATTCATCAAGTCCATCTTCTCATGCATCTGTTCCAACAGGGCACTTGTCTTGCATAAGGCAAGCACCCAATCTTCCTCCCAGCTCATCTTTAGGCAAGGTCAGAAAAGACTATTCCCACAGTCTTAATCTCACAGCTGTTGAGTCCTCAAGTATACTGCTGCAACAATTTAACAAGCTCCCTCTAGAGGAGACAATTTCTATTTGTATCCATTTTTTTTTTTTAAGGCAAGTCCAACAAAGGAAAATTACTTTCGTTTTTCAGATATTTTCCGGATATTTTGTTTTTTTAAGATGCAAAAGGCAACATTGGAATCAGCTTGTTTCTCTTCTTTAACTATCTGTCAAAATGTTCCATTCACAGTCAATGAACCTACAATTTCTGTCTCTGACACCCAGTTCCCAGGTTAGAGACGGTGGAAACTCATCCTTCTCGCTCCCTCTCCTGCAGGGGTTAAACAAAATCCCGCCCCCCTTTTCTCCTGCTTCCAAGGGGGTTTCAGTAGTTCTAAATGAAGGAAATTTAGACTTTTTTGTCAGCTTTCCAGGCTTTAGCTTACGAAGTTTTTGCTTTAGTCTATATACAAAAAGCAGAAGGCGGACTTCCTGTTTTGAACCTTCCCGCTTCGATGCCAAATTAAGATATTTCTTGATACAATTTCCGTTTCTACTCACGGGTTTTAAATCCAATTGTCCACAGGAAAAAGTCAGCGCTCTCCAGCAATGGCTGTGCGGCTTCACTCCGTGAAAGTAGCAATCAGTTCGCAGCACCACGCCGCTCACCCCGCTTCAATCCGGCGCCCCAAAAAGGGGTTCCCGGTGAGTAGGGGGGGCGCTTCTGGTGCCCTGCCGAACCCCACGTTCCCAGGCTTCCTCCGCCTGGGATTTCTAGCGGGTCCCCGCCTTCGCCGCGGCGGGAAGACCCAGTTTTCACGGAGCTAGTTCCTCCGGTCGGAGGAACTCCGCCATTCACCGATGGCGCTGACCCGGAAGTCCCTGTTCGTGACAAACCTTCAGGGACCAACAGTGCTGCTGGTATGTGCAGATTAGATTTTTTTTTTTTTAAAAAAACTTTATTATTATTTTATTGCTTGTAATTTTTGCTTTCTTTTTAAGCCTGTCATATACTTTGGTATTTAGAGGATTATTAGATTATATGGGCTTCCCAAAGGCATCTGGTTGTCCACTGGTAGAACAGGATGCTGGACTAGATAGGCCACTGGCCTAATTCTAGCAGGCTCTTTTTATATGCTCTTGTCAACATCAGCAAGTAAATACATATTCCCATTTTTGTATGCATTTTGTTTCGGTTTGGGTGTTGGGGAACTATTGCAGAATTTCTAGAAGTGCACATTTCAAAGGATAGCTGTGTTCAAGATGTGCTAATGAGGCAGGTTGACATTGAAATACCCCAAAGATCAGGACCATGGATAGCTCACTGTGAGCCTAGATTCAAGAAGAGGCTAGGCTTCCAGAGAGGCAGGGATCTGAGTGTTACTTCAGCACTGGTCTGGAGCGAACTGATGGTATAAGTTGGTCCACGATTGTCTCATCCCTTATATAGCCAGTGGTTTGTTGTGCTCTGCAGGAGAAAGATCCTTACAGATACCACCTCATTGGGGGCAGAAGGGGGGGGGGAAGCTGTTCCATACAATGCAGAATCAGGCCTTTGGTGTGGCAGCATCTAACCCAGGCATCCCCAACCTTCAGCCCTCCAGATGTTTTGGACTACAATTCCCATCACCCTGGACCACTGGTCCTGTTAGTTAGGGATCATGGGAGTTGTAGCCCAAAACATCTGGAGGGCCACAGGTTGGGGATGCCTGATCTCTCTTGTTGTATAGCAGACAGGGCAGCGTCTGTTTTTTCAGCACCTATTAAGGACCTTCCATTTTCAACAAGCCATTTTAGCAGGAATCATTATCCCAATCTGCATCAGCATTGGATTTGATCTTGTTTTTATATGTGTTTTCATTCCTAATGTTTTTTTATGGATTTTTTATGATACTTTTTATTGGTAATCACTTCAACAAATTTCATGGAAAGCAATTCGTTATGGAAATCAAAGATAACAGTGACCCAGGCAAATTTTCTCCCAAATCTCTAGGCAGAATGAGCTGCTTGTCACTTCCCCCCTCCTCTGGATTCACCTTGGTGCTGTGCTTTCCTTCAACAGACGTTTTGAATTCTGTTCTTATGGCAGACGAAAGAAAATACTTTTGAAACACAGCAGACAGTTAACGCTACGGAATTTCCTCCCACAAGTTATAGTGATTGTCATCAGTTTGGATGGTTTTAAAGGAGGATTAGTTAGAGAAATTCGTGGAGGAGAAGGCTATTTATGGCTATGAGCCATGATGGCTGTGATCCCTCTACACAGTCAGTGTGCCTCTGATTGCCAGCTGCTTGAAACCACAGGAGGAGAGAATGCTCTTGTGCTCAGGTCTTCCATGTGGGTTTCCCATGGACATTTGGTTGGCCCCTGTGAGAAAGCCTCTCCTCCTTCCAGAGGGGAGGAGTTGTGAGCGGGAGCCATTTCCCGCGTTGGCAGGGGGCGTTCCGGCCCCTGCTCAGCTGTCCCGGCTGCCCCGCCCCGCCCCCTGGCAGCCCACCAATCGGGCGGAGGCTAGGGGGCGGGGTTTAGCCGCTCAAATGCGGCCGCAGCAGAGCTTCCTCCTCACTGCGCTGCTGGGTTTCGTCGGATCACCCACCCACCCTTGTTGTTGACCTTGCTATGGACCTGTGGTTGGTCACCTTGGTTGCCCAAGGGGCCTGGTAGGAATTTTTATCCAACTGGTAAATTGGCACCGGCCACTTGGTTTTTTGCCTACCTCGTAGCAAATCATCACAACTTTTCAGGTATTGGCGGTTAGGCATTGGCATATGTTTGTGTATTGGAGGGCAGGGTGTGGCCATCACCTACCCCTCCACTTTTTGGGGATTCCGTTAAAGGAATCTGGTGGTTGTGGATCCTGTCCGACACCCTTGCTTGTGGCTAGGGCCATGGCACGACCCCCAGTGACATCAGGGGGAGCTTACAGTTGTATTTGCATCAACAGGCTCCTCCTACTGGTGGTTAACCCTTGTTAGACTCACCCCTTCCTGAGTGGGTGGAGTCATGCTCTGTTGTTTTATCCAGTGCCTAAGCCAATACCTCTCACATGCTGTAATCAATAAAGTTGTGGCCTTTTTTAGCCCATTAACCTAATATACTGCGTCCTTGTGTTTTTCTTATCCTCAAGCGGTTGGCAGGTTCTCGACTCACAACAGGATGCTGGGCTCTGATAGTCCTTTGCTCAGTCCAGCAAGCTCTTTTTCTGATCTCAATGCCCAAAAGATTTCACCCCAAACCTTTCTCCATAATATTCAAATGCCACAACCCGCCCCCTGGACTTTTGCAGATTAGGTGGGTGAGTCATCCTTTCCCTTCTCATCACCTCTCAGGTGGACAAATACCATGTCCCCCTGTGGGTAATGAGAATCTCTATGGAGTGTATTAAATACTTTATGAAAATGCAAAACCACCTGTCTTGTGGTGATTAATCCTTCAAGTCACCCATGAGCCATGACCTTAATAAATAAATAGCCGTGTTTCCTATTTTGCATTCTGTGTTTCCTCTTCTTTTAATTTTCTGTTTTAGTCAATCTTGTCCTGTCCCTCTGCACTGGATGACAGCTGGGTAGAAATAAACCCCATAATCATCAATGAACATAAAGCAGATTGGGGGGAGGGAGCATAAAGCATCTGGTTTATGTCATCTGGAGTGCAGGGTAAAAATAAAGTAAAATATAGACACGTTGCCATCCTGTAGCTTTTTATTTCACACCATTTGTCCCCTGTTTACTGTCAGCTCTTAGCCAGATGTTGAAATACCTTGGAAACCGAAAGCTAAGCCACATGTCTCTGTAGAAGGGTGAGGGCGCATGGCTCTGCTTAGAGGAGGGGGAGAAAGGAAAGGAATTGAGTGCATGGTTTTAAGCGCTTCTAGGCATGATAATCTAATAGTAATTGGAACACAGGCGGTGCTCCTTAAACCACTTAGCTGCTATGGATCATACGTGAAAGGGTGCGTAGGACACATGAGACACAGGAATGTAGGACGCTGCTGGACAGACTCTGTCCATCCATGTCAGTATTGTCTGCTTGGGGGATGGGGAACATTCTTCAAGGGCCACATTCTCTTCTGAGCAACCTTCCAGGGGCCATATGCAGCAGGAACAGACTGGGCCAGAGGCAGAAGCAGGCAGAGCAACTAATGTGAGTTGTCACCTCCGTGTAGGCGGGTGGTTTCTACAATCTCATCCACCCCTTGCTGACCTGCATCCAGGCAAGCAAGATGCATGTTTGGAGTTCAGAGACACATCCTAAGTCACACTGGATAAGACTCCAGGAATAGACTCTCTGGGGTTTGGCGTGGGCAGTCTGTGACAGTCTGTGAAGACTATGAGGCTCCAGGAAAGGCTGTGATTGAAATGTCTTCAGACTGTGACCAGTAGGTGGCTGTGGTAGGGCCTTTGCTTGGCCTTGCTACACCATAGTAGTAGTAGTAGTAGTAGTAGTAGTAGAAGAAGAAGAAGAAGAACTCAAGGAGAATGCAAAGGAAGACTGGTGAGGGTTGTGGTTGAGGTCTAGCGCCGAGGGCCTTCTGGCAGTTCCATCATTGTGAGAAGCGAAGCTACAGCTTTGGCCATGATCACTATGTTCTATCTCCACAGTCTGAGCAGTGTGCCTCTGGAAGCCAGTTTCTGAGAATCACAAGTGGGGAAAGCACGACTTCCCTTGTGCCCGGCTTGCAGGATTCCAACTGGCATCTGGTTGGCCACTGTGAGAACAGGAAGCTGGCCTCTGATGGTCCTTAATAGCTCAGTTAGGAAAGCATGAGACTATTAATCTCAGGGTGGGCGATGGGTTTGAGTGTGACGTTGGACAAAAGATTTCTGCATTGCAGGGGGTTGGACCAGATGACTCTCGTGGCCCCTTCCAACTCTACAGTTCTACAATTCTATGATCCAGCAAGTTCTCCTTCAGTTCTTCATTCCTGAAATATTTGACTCCATACCTTTCCCTGAAATTTCCAGATCCTTAAATCCATAGCCCATTCTTTCACAAACCACATTGCCCTTTTGGGGTGAGGGCGCTGCTTTGGTGGACAAATGCCAGGTCCTCTGTGGTGCTCTGGGTCTGAAGTCCCCATTCATTTAGGCTGATTGGCAGTGGGCCTTCAAGGTTTCAGACAGAGGTCCCCCGCCCCCGCATCTGATGCCAGAACCTTCTAATTGGAGATAGCAGGAGTTGAATCTGGGGCCTCTTCTGCAGCTGCGCTCCAGCCTCTCCCTGATCCAGGCTGGGTAGCATCTCTCTCTCTTTCCCTCTTTCCAGCAGAGCCTTTAATAGTTGCACATCAGGAAGAAACTGCACACAGGGTAGGCAAATTGGTGCCCATCACTTCATCTCCTTGTTGAGAAAAGCTGTTGAATTTCTGCCTCCCACACGCCTTAGAGAGGCAGCTGGTTTTTTGTTTTGTTTTTCAATGCAGAACAATCTCTTTTTCCTCCCCACAAGCTGAAGGCATTTGAAAGCATGTGACGTTCTACTTTCTCAATGTCATAAAAAATATTTGGGATACTGATGCTGCGAGGATGGCAGCAGTGCCTCAGCTCGTTTAATTGTTTGTTTGATGGATCAGTTTCTCTCACACTCTATACTGGGGGCTATGAGGAACTTACAACATTTCTGCTGATTGTTAGTAGGCTGCCATGGATTTCCTGTCGGAGACAGGGCAGGGAACCCTTTTCAGGCTGCGGGCTGCATTCCTTTATGGGAAGCCACCAGGGTTTCCTGCAAACTGCTTTGAGGGTTTTTTGTTTTTGTTATGATCAAGTGGTGTATATAGTTTATGAAATAAACAAGCATGCCTTCAGAGGGCTGCATGCCATTGGTGGGTGGAGCCAGAGGAAATCCCCCCCCCCATGCAGATGGAGTTTTAACAATGAATAGACTAACTCAGGCATCTCCAGCTGTTTTGGGACTACAATTCCCACCATCCCTGACCACTGGTCCTGTTAGCGAGGGATGATGGGAGTTGTAGTCCCAAAACAGCTGGTGGGCCAAGTTTGGCCATGCCTGGACTAACGTATAGTAGGGCATGTGACTCCTTTCCAGTGCTACATTCCAGTTCCACCAAAGCCAGATGTTTCTACAAACAGCAGTCATATCTCCATTCTTCATCGAGGTAAGCAAGAGGCTCTATCACATTACAACAGTGTGTGTGTGTGTGTGTGTGTGTGAGAGAGAGAGAGAGAGAGAAAGAGAGAAGGGGGCGGGCAGAGATTGTTACAATCTGTTGCAATCTGATTTGAGGATCATTCAATCCAAAGGCAGGATATAAATCTCTTAAAGACCAGCTGCGTGAGGCTGCTTACTTAACTGCTAACTTAACTGCTTACTTAACCCTGCAGCACCCATTACATCAGGCTGTGTGTGTGAAAGAAAAGGGTGTCCTGCAAGCCTCCTCATTGAGCTTTGCCAAAAGACCTGTTGGCTCCTCTCCAGTTTTCCCCCATTCTTTTTCCACTGCAAGTTCTCTGTAGTTAAGACCTGAGCTTGCCTCCTCCCTCTTTTCCTTTTGTGTTGTGTCTCCTACATGGTTAACCTGAGAGCAAAAATGGTCTTCTCCCTGATATTAGTCACACTGAGAGCCTTTATTGTTATTATTTGCCTGAAGAGAAGGATGGATAAAAATGATTACAAATACATACATACATACATACGTACGTACTTACATACATGCATACATACATACATAGGTAAAGGTAAAGGGACCCCTGACCATTAGGTCTAGTCGTGACCGACTCTGGGGTTGCAGCGCTCATCTTGCTCTATAGGCCGAGGGAGCTGGCGTACAGCTTCCGGGTCATGTGGCCAGCATGACTAAGCCGCTTCTGGCGAACCAGAGCAGCGCACAGAAACGCCATTTACCTTCCCGCCGGAGTGGTACCTATTTATCTACTTGCACTCTGAGGTGCTTTCGAACTGCTAGGTTGGCAGGAGCAGGGATCGAGCAATGGGAGCTAACCCCTTGCGGGGATTCGAACCGCCGACCTTCTGATCGGCAAGTCCTAGGCTCTGTGGTTTAACCCACAGCGCCACCCGCATACATACATACATACATAATGTTGGAAGCAGAATGCTTCTGAATACCAGTTACTGGAAATGGCAAGAGGGCAGAGTGCTGTTGCATTCAGGGCTTCCGTTGGGCATCTGCTTGGGCACTGCAAGAATAGAATGCTGGACTAGATGGGCCACTGGCTTAAACCAGCAGGGCCCTTCTTAGGTTCTTATGTAAGTAATAGGGGCTGATGCTCCTGCTCACTCCAACCTACCCACCCCAATTTCCCCCACAAAAATATAGTATTGAGGTATGTAAGTGAGGACTAACTAACTAGCTGAAGAGGGGGATGTTTGAAGCTCAACAGTATGAGAGAAGGGAGGCCCACAAGATTAGTTGCCAACAGTGGCATCGTCAAAATATCCAGTCTTATTTGCAAATTTTGCTTTTCTGGGGCACATGGCTTATTTGAAGCGCCTTTGGAGAGTCTCTCCCTTCGATTTGTGCTGCTACTTGCAAGCCTCAGTCAGCGCAGTTGTGGCATGGCTAAAGTAATTAATCAAACAGCATCCATGGTGACTCGTTGGCGAACTTTGCATTAATGGACTCATTAGTGCGCTACATCTGAGAAGGTAGAGGAGATGTATGCGGCTCAGTGGCCTCTAGGATATCTCCAGGTGGGGTTTGGGTGTGTGTGGATATTTGCTAAAATTAGCATTTTCCATTTCAGTGCTGTTGGTGCCACAGCAATCCGACAAGGAAAATGAAGGCTTTGCTTACTAGGCCATTATGCCTGTGGAGAAGAGAATTGCTTTATAGTCCTATCTGCTTAGGCAAATTTGGAAATCAAAGAGGATGATAGCTTGAAGGCATCAAGGTAGAAGCTGCATTAACATGACAGAGCTGGGGGGTTGGATAAAAGCAAGCAGGCGGGAGTGGCAGCCTGAGCATATTTTTTTTAGTCTGAGGCCAATTGTGAGTTTGCTCATGCTGATGCTCCAGGCTGAAATCATTGTTTTATAGGGCTCAATGCACCCTTTTATATCACCCCCTTGTGACACAAGATCTCTGCTGAGTTGGTAGCTGCAGTACCGCTACTGGCCACCTGTAGTGGTGGTGCTGCAGCATAACAGGGAACAGCTGAGGAACTCCATCACAAGAATATTGAACCCTGCCTTATGCTGAGTCAGACCATTGATACAGAGAATAGGATATGTGAAAAAGTCCTCCTTTTTGTCTGTGCTGAATATCCCACCATTCTAGGTAAAGGTAAAGGGACCCCTGACCATTAGGTCCAGTTGTGACTGACTCTGGGGTTGCGGTGCTCATCTCACTTTATTGGCCAAGGGAGCCGGCCTACAGCTTCCCGGTCATGTGGCCAGCATGACTTAGGCACTTCTGGCGAACCAGAGGATCGCACGGAAACACCGTTTACCTTCCTGCCGGAGCGGTACCTATTTATCTACTTGCACTTTGACGTTCTTTCGAACTGCTAGGTGGGCAGGAGCAGGGACCGAGCAATGGGAGCTCACCCCGTTGCGGGGATTCGAACCGCGACCTTCTGATCGGCAAGTCCTAGGCTCTGTGGTTTAACCCACAGCGCCACCTGCGTCCCATCTGCCTACTGAGCAGCAACTCCCACTATGAGTTAAAGGAGTGGTGCTGAGCTGCTGGAACTTGCTCAGATCATGATGGAGACAAGTCTTCTCTTTCTGGAGGCTAGGGACAAATTTCTGACAATAACTCTTCAGCAGGGTGAAATTGTCAGGTTGATTTTAACAGAGCTATCTTTATGTGCTGTGTGCGTCTGCAGGACACGGAAGTCCTGAACACAGCCATCCTGACGGGGAAGCCGGTGTCTGTCCCAGTAAAGGTGGTTGCCGTTGAAGAAGATGGATCGGTGAGAGATGTGTCTGGTTCCACCGAATGCAGATCAGCTGATGAAGACGTCATAAAGGTAAGGAAGTCCACCCCAGTTCTAAACAGATGCCTTTGAGATGGTCACAAGAAGAGCCTGACCAAGGTGGCCTTCTCCTATACCTGGTATTCAGAGAGATAACACTGCCTCTGAAAATAGAGGTCCTTTATTCACTGATGGTATTTTACTCCATGAATTCACCTATTCATCATCACTCCTAACAATGAACTCAAGTGGTGAGTGCCAACAGCAGTGGGACCTCTGAGAAACAAGAGGGTAGTATCAACATACCCTGATGTTTGCAGAAGTATGACCTTTCTACAAGCCCAGGGACTGAGCATGCTCTGTCTTTATTTAGTGTTCATTGTCAGTTGGAAAAGAAAATTGGAAAATGAAAGTAGTGATGCAGACTCTGGTATTCAGCTTTTGGAAAGCACCATCATGTAAAAGATGTGTGTGCAAAAAGCTAGCACATCAAAGGTAAAGTTTGCAACCTAGCCTCTTCCTCCTGTGTTCATTTTCTAATTGCAGGGGGATTTTTCTTGCAGGAGAACATTCAAAATGCGAGCATCCACCTGAAATATTTTCAAGACTCTGCTATCACACCCACAGCACATTCACTTGCATGTGCAGACCAGCACCGTGTATGGAAAAACTAGTCAGGGCTGCAAAGCATGGATGGGGAACCTGTGGACCTCCAGATGTCACAGAACTCCCATCAGCCTCAGCTAGCAAGGCCAATGGTAAGAGATTATGGGAGCTGGAGTCCAGCAGCATCTGGAGGGCCACAGGTTCCCCAACTTTCCTCTAGAATTATTTCAAATACTCTTGCAGCTTCTGGAAGCAGACATTTCCTTCTGGATTTCATGCTGCTAATGATTTGCAAGCTGGCATATATGTCCCCTGTGGATTTCTGTTTGAACCTCCAAGTCTCGCCTCTTTGTATTTTATGCTCATCAGTCTAACCTTTTATTTTGAGTTGACATATGACTGGTGATAGCTTCAAAGGTAGCAGAGGCTTTGTCAGAGAATCATTAATTGGGGATCTTAAGTGGGCTGGGAAATATTAGGGCTGGCCTATTATTCATTCTCAAATAGACAGCTCTGGTTTTTATACCAGACCCCGAAACTCACCTTCGCACCTTACTTTTAAAGACTTTGAATGAGTTCAAGTAGAATGAAACAATGGGGGAGGGAAGAAAGTTCAGCAAATTCTCCAAGTCATTTTGCAGCTTTGAATTTGGCAGCTAAGAAATGTGACCTAAACTTTTATTGAGTAAAATACGGGAATATAGTATATGGGATACAGCAATGTCCAAGCTTCTTACCATTGCATTAAAGGCATAATGAATAGAGACACCTTCCAAGAAATGTAGACCCCTTTCTTTAATGATGTTAATGGCCCAAATCAAAACCTTGTTATACCAACCACTCAATACTTCACAGTGGGGAGATTGTGTTAAGTAATACGTTAGCATGTTGAATGTGTAAGTTTATGTCTAGAGTCAATGGATAAAAGAAACATAATTAGATATACTGCTGGATAAGTGTTTAATGGTTCTTGTATTTGTTTAAAAACAAAAATTTGTTGCAAAAAATGTGGAGGGGGGAGAAAAAGTCTCCCTCTCTTCTTATTGTAGTTTCTAAGGCAGAGGAACCAGTGGCTCCCCAGATGTTGCAGAACTTCACCTCCCACCATCCCAGCTAGCATGGCCAATGATCAGGGATAATTGAAGTTGTAGCCCAACAGTATTAGACTTGTTTTGCAGGGGTGGGTGGGTCCCTTCCTAGAAATTTTGACTCAGCTCTGCTTTGTACTGGAATTGGCAAGGGCTTAATTCTTCAAGAATCCTTACCTGTGCCACCCAAACTGTTCAAGGGGTTAACTCTGCCTGCATGCCACCTGTGCTAAATTATGAATGACTCCTACCATCACTGCTTCTCTGATGGCAACCAAGCTACCCCACTGCAGCTGAAACTTCTACATGCTAAAAAGGTAAAGGTGAAGGGACCCCTGACCATTAGGTCCAGTTGTGGCCGACTCTGGGGTTGCGGCACTCATCTTGCTTTATTGGCCAAGGGAGCCAGCGTACAGCTTCTGGGTCATGTGGCCAGCATGACTAAACCGCTTCTGGCAAACCAGGAAGCCATAGAAATAGACTGGAGAATGAAAATAATGCTTCCTCATTACAGGAAAGTGGGACAAATGATTGATCAGAAAATGTATCTTATTGAAGAAGGCCCATGCCACATTGCAGCACTAATGGATAAAATGGGTGTTGCATCAGAAAACGTGTTCTAGTCCAGACAGGGTGAACCTTAGCTAGAGACCCACATCATGGCCACAGCTTTGCCTGTGACCCACCTGGGATGGTCTTGCAACCCACCTGTGGGTCCCAACTGGTTGACGATGACCTATGGAGTAGATATTACTGAGCTAGATGGACCAGCAGCCTGCCTCAGTATATCTATGGCAGCTTCTTCTGTTCCACCCCATCATAAGGAGGTGTTTGTGTGCCAGCCTTCTGCAGACCGTGCATTCCTGAGACAGTTAAACCATCATTTCTGTATACACAGTCAGGATAGCGGTGTGATTAAGTGATGTGTTTGCCCTGCCTTCCCAAAGAGCATTGAAAAGGTCAGCTAGTGCTTCTGATCCCTGCCATTGATTTTGAGAATACCCTGGATCAGAAGAGATAGAGTAAAGAAATATTGTAAGATCACTGCCACTGAAAGATGAAAAGAGAGGATAACCCTTGTTGCTCTGCTTCTTGCCAGTGGCCAGGGATGATGGGAGTTGGGAGCTCAGTAACATCTGGTGGGTAAAATGTTAGCCACCCCTGGTGCAAGGAAGAGTGAGCTCAGCAAACCAGTTTTTTGACTTGGCATAAGGCATTTCCCTTCGCTCTTGTATCTCCTCTGGCTTGAACAAAAACACCTCACTTTTCTTGTGACTTTCGTGACTTCCTGGAGATTAAACATCCTAAAAGCTACGGTTGCATTGTTTAATTCATGAGCAAACTAGATTAATCAGTTCAGATGGTTTCAATGGACTTGAAGAATAAAGAAATCATTTCATCCCACTCGTAAAATGTAAGAGCAGATATATTAAAACAGCACTCTTATAACCTTTAAAGGGCAAAATCCCCATAGGAACATGTAGAAATGTGTGGTCCCTAATATCCATTTGGCCAAATGCGTTTTGACAAAGTCTTCTTCAACGGCTGGATATTTCCTTAGGCTTTGATGTAAGGGAACACCATTCTTAAATGAGGACAAGTTGTATCAAAATGTAGGATACTTACATCCTCTCAGGTGAGCCAACTTGGGACCCATACCGTGGGTGCCCAGTGTGCATGTGCCAAACCTCTCCACACGTCATGATGTTGGCACAGCATGCACACGTCCTCTGGCACTGTGGTGGCAACTGGGCCAGGACCTGTGCCTCCACTGTGGAGCCTCTGTTGAGGCCTGTGGCTGCGGCTGCACCCTGGAAGCATGTCTGCGGCTTCAGCAGGCCTCAACAGAGGCCCCACGGTGGAGGCGCCAGCCCCGGTCCAGTCATGGCTGCAGTGCTGGAGCGCCAGAGATAAAATGGCAGGCAGCAGGCGACAGGGGCAGAGGCCCAACAGCCACAGCAAAAACTTTTTGGGTGCCTGGGCTCCCAGGGCCCCCTGGAGTTGGCACCAGTGCATCCCCTCAGTTTCTTGTTTTACTGTTTTAATCAGAATAAAAAAATTCCTTCCAGTAGCACCTTAGAGACCAACCAAGTTTGTTATTGGTATGAGCTTTTGTGTATCTGAAGAAGTGTGCATGCACATGAAAGCTCATACCATTAACAAACGTAGTTGGTCTCTAAGGTGCTACAGGAAGGAATTTTTAAATTTTGTTTCAGCTACGGCAGACCAACACCTACCTGCTTTAATCAGGAAATAGTAATTTTGGCAGGTACAGTGGTACCTCGGGTTAAGTACTTAATTAGTTCTGGAGATCCGTTCTTAACCTGAAACTGTTCTTAACCTGAAGTACCACTTTAGCTAATGGGGCCTCCCACTGCTGCTGCTCCTGCGCCGCCCCACACGATTTCTGTTCTCATCCTGAAGCAAAGTTCTTAACTCGAGGTACTATTTCTGGGTTAGCGGAGTCTGTAACCTGAAGCGTCTGTAACCTGAAGTGTACGTAACCCAAGGTACCACTGTTCTAATGAGCCATGAAAAAATATAGCCATGTGCTTCTTCTTTTTTTAAGTCTGATGACTCTTTCTCATCCCCTCTCTCACTAACTTTGCTCTAATAAGAAAATAAGAATGCCTCTCGCTTGCAAGACCAGGCCAATGACCCATCTAGTCCATCCTGCTCTCACAGTGGCCAACCGGATGCCCATGTGAACAAGCAGGACCTGAGTGCAACCATGCTCTCTCCTGGTATTCAGAAACATACTGTGTTTAGCCATCCTAACTTGAAGCTATTGACTCAGCGTCTCCTCCTCTCTCTCAGGAAGAAAAGTCTGTTCTAAGATAATGCCTGCTGTGACACACACACAGACATCTAAAAACAAAGAAAATATACTTCCTTCCCCCCACTTTAGAACTGTTATTTTCCTTGATAATGGAAATTTGTGCAGATGTAATCAATTAATTGACTGATTAGAGGATTAGCTGATTCAAACTCCCACAATCTGACTAAGATTCCTTTAAACTTGAGTGACAGCCAAAACTTCCCTTTTCATGGCCACATAACTCTGCTGCAGTTCTTATCTGATGAGGGACTTTCTTATTTATCACTCCACAATAAATTGTAACTCTTGTAAACCCTCGAAGTTATAAATCACCCGTTTGTTCCTTGCCGTCTCTTATTTCCTCCCCCTCCCCTCTTCACTTCATTACGCCACACAGAGATGTGTTAAGATAGCATTTGTAGACTTATCTTGGTGTTAATTGAGTTTCCAACATTTTTTTAAAAATTTTTTGCTGAGGTATTTAGGTGTTACTGAGCACCAAATAACACTGACTGGGGAAATGTCATTAAAAAGGATTAGGTGCCCAGGAACATTAATATCTTTGTAGTGTGTGGGAGGTGCTGCATTTGAAAACTCTCCCATTAAAAGATACATCCCACAACACAAAGTAGCTAAGGTGAGATCTCATATTGGGCCAGTTGGATTTGTAAGCTAGCAAGAACACAGAACTCTTTTGGGGATCAATGAATGAACGAATGAATGAATGAATCAATCAATCAATCAATCAATCAATCATATTATTTGAATTCTGCCTTCCAAAGTTAGAACCATGCTCAAGGCGGCTTACAACATATAAAAAATACATAATTACAAACATAACAAAACATAACATAACAGCAACATCACCCCCTAAAACCCCCCTAAACAATACCCCAACCCAAGAGTTGAATGATACAGTGGTACCTCGAGTTATATACGCTTCAGGGTTACATACACTTCAGGTTACAGACTCCGCTAACCCAGAAATAGTGCCTCAGGTTAAGAATTTTGCTTCAGGGTGAGAACAGAAATTGTGCTCTGGCGGCGCGGCAGCAGCAGGAGGCCCCATTAGCTAAAGTGGTGCTTCAGGTTAAGAACAGTTTCAGGTTAAGAACGGACCTCTGGAACGAATTAACTACTTAACCAGAGGTACCACTGTACATGCAAATCCTCTGAAGGAGTAGAAGCAGCAGCAGACATTGCTTCTCCTGTGACACTGCTTCTTAGTTCCATCTCTATCCTTTTTAGTCCCATTTCCTCACTTCTTCGGCTGCACATCTGGGATCCTGCTGATCCCAGCAGCACTAGAAAAGTGATGAGCAGAAAGAAGGCCGCATGACAGAGGAGACCACAGAAGAGAAGATATTATTTCTTATTTTTTTAAAAAATAACTTTTTAAATAACTTTTTTCTCTTTTCAAAAAAAAGAAAAATGTACCCGGATTCTTTGAAAAAAATCTGGTAGCTAGCCTTACACAAACAGCCAAAGACACTGTAATTCTATCCAGAGTGAAGAGTCCAGTCACAACAAAGTAATAATGTTTCACAATTACCTAAAAAAAGGTAAAGGGACCCCTGACCATTAGGTCCAGTCGTGGCTGACTCTGGGGTTGCGGCACTCATCTCGCTTTATTGGCCGAGGGAGCCGGCATACAGCTTCCGGGTCATGTGGCCAGCATGACTAAGCCGCTTCTGGCAAATCAGAGCAGCGCACGGAAATGCCGTTTACCTTCCCGCCAGAGTGGTACCTATTTATCTACTTGCACTTTGACGTGCTTTCGAACTGCTAGGTTGGCAGGAGCAGGGACTGAGCAATGGGAGCTCACCCCGTCGCGGGGATTCGAGTCGCCGACCTTCTGATCGGCAGGTCCTAGGCTCTGTGGTTTAACCCACAGCGCCACGTGAGCCAAAATAATCTGGAGCTAACTGATAGTACAAGTTGTTCCGGTCTTTTGCATATGAATCCTGAGAAACTCACACACCCTTTCCTTCCCTTTCTGTCCTCCACAAGTGAGACACTGTTCTAAGCCTCACCAGGCAGCGTGCATGTAATTGCCTAATTTTGTGCTTCTTTACCCCATTAATTCTGTCCCTTGTTGTTCTTTTCTAATTGATGAAATGTGTCGTGTCCCGTTGGCCGTGGCAAACGACGTGGCATTCTTAACCTTTGATGCTTTGCTTAGTTGATTTTGATTAAGAAGATTGAGCAAGACGGGGCTAACTGGATGGGCCATGAGTTCATCTCCCCGCTCCCCAAACTTTGGCCTTTCTGGGAAAGAACTGGAGTGCTGTGCCTCCCTGACTGGAAACTCTGGCACAATCCACTCTCCTACTTTGTCACCCTTTTGAGGAAGAGCCCTGCTATCTGTGTCCAGCACAATTGCACCAAAATTCAGCCACTCACATTTATTATATTGTTACCACCCTGTGATCTTCAGATGAATGGGAGTACAGTGGTACCTCGGGTTACAGACGCTTCAGGCTACATACGCTTCAGGTTACAGACTCTGCTAACCCAGAAATAGTACCTCGGGTTAAGAACTTTGCTTCAGGTTGAGAACAGAAATCGTGCTCCAGCGATGTGGCAGCAGCGGGAGGCCCCATTAGCTAAAGTGTTCTTCAGGTTAAGAACAGTTCGACCTCCGGAACGAAACTTAACCCAAGGTACCACTGTATAGAAGTTTAAAATAAATAAAATAAAATAAAATAAAATAAAATAAAATAAAATAAAAGCTAGCAAAATGTCTGCCATTATATGGGAGGGCTGTGCGTAGTCAAATATCATGAGGACATTTGGAACTGCAGTCACTGGCCAAGGAAGGGAGGGGCAGGGGGAGCGCACCACCCCCAGCACCATTGGGGAGGGGGGTACCATCGCAGCCGCCACCCTGGACATGCGCTGTGCACCCTCCCATCGTGCCAGGCACCATGCCCCTGCAGGTGGTGCCACGCCCCCTGGACGCATGCTGCGCCCTGTTTGTGGCATGCCATGCTTCCGGGGAATGCGCCACACACCCCGGGGCACACGCCATCCACGCCCCCGCCTGCTTTCCACCCCCAGAACTGGAGCATGCAGTTTCGCCACTGACTGCAGTGCATCTCTGGACAATGGACCTTGGGTGGCTGTTGAGACAACTCAGGAGATGACAGTCGAGCTACAAAGCTGGAACTGTGGTGAACCAGATGCCTTATGGACAAGGCTTTCCCCCCAGCCTGAACTCATAGGAACTCAGTTCCAGCACCTCTCAGGCGGGTGCTATTGGCATTATAAGGGAACAAGGGAGGCGATTTCCAGCACCTCTTTTTCTAGAAAAATAGAACTGCTTATAGGAAATCCACTGCTTATGGGAAACAGCATCTGAGTGCAACAGGACTCTCCCTGCTTGCAATTCCCAGAAACTGGTATTCAGAGACATATTGCCTCTGACATTGGAGGCAGAGCAGAGCCATCATGGCTAGTCGCCCCCAATAGCCTTATATTCCAGGAATTTGTTTTATCTCATTCTAAAAGCATCCAGTCAATTGAGCCTCAAATGCTATTTGCAAACAGTAACCCCATCATTCTGGTGCATTTTCCACTATGGCCCCCAGACCTTCAAACTGGTCGTCATCGGAAGAGGCAGCCAAATATTATTTACTTTGCTCTTCTTGAGATCTGCAATCAACCTTGCGCTCCCTCTGCTCTGTGAGCTTTAATCAGATTTCTCTAAACATTGCTTGAGCGAATGTGTTTGTGGTTTAATTTACCTGCACCTGCCTTCTGGCAACGTGTTCAAAGAGTCACTCCCTGGGGACGTATAATTGACACTGAAGACAGAGATGATGAGTCTGACACGCCACCCTCGTTCTGAAGTACCTGCAGTTAATTTAGGTGACATAAAAGACTCTCGCCGTTGACAGGTCCCAGCTCCTTTCCCCCTCGAGTGGAAGGCTTGTGGGGGATACTTTACCTTATTATTAGCTTCATTTTATTTTAAATTTCCAGCTGGAAATTGGAATGTAGCCACAATTGGGGGAAACACCTCTTAGAGTCAAAAGCTTTCCTGCTTCTGAGCTTCATATGTTGTATTTTTTTTTAAAAAAATGATATTTATTAAAATTTCAAAAAATACAGAATACAGAAAAAAGTATAAAGTTTTTAAGATATAACAAAAAAGTAAAAAATAAAAAAACCATACAGAATAAAACAGTTAAAAACACGTTAATTTTCCATAGCCTATCTTCCTTACACTTATTTCCCCGGACCTCCTCGTACCTCCCTTTTTGTATTCCAGTTCAGTTTGTTAGTTCAGCAAATCCTTACCATTAAGCTTTTACCTATTTATAAAACCTTTTTTCGTATCTCTTAAAGCATTACAGCTGGAAACCACTTAGTTTCTATCCAACATCCTTCTAAAATTCCTTAATTTTACAATATTTCTGTAAATAGTCTTTAAATTTCTTCCAGTCTTCTTTCACCGACTCTTCTCCCTGGTCTCGGCTGAGCTTAATATGTTGTAAGCTGTCCTGAGTGACGTGTTATTTACACCAGAAGCTATAGATGGCCTGAGAAAGAAATACCGTATTTTTCACTCTATAGGATGCACTTTTTCCCTTCAAAAAATTAAGGTGAAATGTGTGTGCATCCTATGGAGCGAATGCAGGCTCCTTGGCTTCAGCGATATCAACACGAAGCGTCCAAAGCACAGAGGGAGCGCTCCCTCCGCGCTCCGGAGGCTACGCGTTGCTTTCACTGAAGTCTGGAGAGCGAGAGGGGTCGGTGCGCACCAACCCCTCTCACTCTCCAGGCTTCAGGGATAGCCGCCCGAAGCCTTTGGAGTGCAGCGGGACCTTGCACTGCGCTCCAAAGGCTTCGGGTTCCTTTTGCTAGAGCTGGGAGAGCAACCTTGCCGCCGCTCCCGGACCTGTTCTGGGGGCTGGGGTCGGGGGAAGCTCGGGAAGGTAAATAGCGTTTCCGTGCGCTGCTCTGGTTTGCCAGAAGCGGCTTAGTCATGCTGGCCACATGACCCGGAAGCTGTGCGCCGGCTCCCTTGGCCAATAAAGCGAGATGAGTGCCGCAACCCCAGAGTCGGCCACAACTGGACCTAATGGTCAGGGGTCCCTTTACCTTTTTACTAAAAACTAAAAGAGACTACTGGACTGCATGAGTATTACAGTTCTCACTCAGCCATCTAATCACTATAGAGATAACACAGAGACTCCCACAGAGTCAGGCAGAAGCAAAGAGCAGTTTCTGCCCCCTCCTCTCTGAAAACATTGTTAGGAGATTCTTGCAATGTGAGGGGGTGAAAATATCCACATCACATTCATTACTGGCCCTGCTACATGTCCTCCTTGAGTATTTTCCCCTGGCTGCAGGGTCACCAAGAAGCAGTGGCATAGCGTGGGTTGCCAGCACCTGGGGACACATGGAGGGGGTGGGAGGAAGGGAAATGGATGGAGTATGCGTGCACATTTGACTGCCTAATGGTCTCTGCGTCATGGGGGGGGGGGATCACAGCCACAGAGATAAGAAAAAAAGAGTCCTTCCATTGTCTGGAGAGGTCACTTCCTGGTTTGTATGGAAAAGCCATTTTCAATGGAGCCCAGAGACGGAAGTGCGCAGCTGTATTGAGGCAGCACTAGGTGTTGACATTTTTCGCCCCTAACCATTTTGCTCCTGGGGCAACTGCCCTTGTGATTCCCCCCCCCCACTGCGCCACTGCCAAGAAGTACAGAGGGTATTGTTGTATTGGCCCACAGATTAAATTAAAAGGGGGAGAACCATGTACAGTGGTGCCTCGCAAGACGAAATTAATTCGTTCCGCAAGTCTCTTCGTCTTGCGAGTTTTTCGTCTTGCGATGCACGGTTTCCCATAGGAATGCATTGAAAATCAATTAATGCGTTCCTAGGGAAACCGCCACTTTTTGCTCCTTGGAGAAAAATGTGGGAGATAAATGCAATGATTAATAATAATAATAGCAGCAAAAAATAACAATAAATTCATACATACATATTGGGTGAAGGGTGTTTGTGAATGCATTCCATCCTGCAAAAATGACTGATAGGTCCATAACTGTATGATGTTAACCTATAGGCTGCTTACAGTAGAAAATGAGTTGACTCTTCAGTGAAAGCTGGTTCATTAGGGTAAAGGGGGCACTTCCCTATCAAGCACAGTCCGCCCTCAGGCAGCCCCCCCACCCCCAATCTGCCTGCTTCCTTTGGTTACAACCACTCCAGCGGGTGACACTGGCTATTGGCCTCATCTTCCTGAGTTTCTTTGTTGCCTTTGTAGAATTCAGCAGGGATGAGGACAAACCAGAATGCATTGATTCCACCCATGGGTGTAGCCAAGGGGGTGGGGGGCACCTGCCCCCCATCAAGTAAAGCAATAAAAATACTTAACTAACTGACCAATCAGTCAGCTTTGCCTACTGTTGGCCTCCCTGCCTTAAATAATAATAATAATAATAATAATAATAATAATAATAATAATTTATACCCCGCCCATCTGGCTGGGTTTCCCCAGCCACTCTGGGTGGCTTCCAACAGAACACTAAAATACAATAACCTATTAAACATTAAAAGCTTCCCTAAACAGGGCTGCCTTCAGATGTGCCTATGGGCACCAGTCTCCAACAAAGAAGCTGAAATATGGGTGATGCCCCTGTCAATCATGTATAGCTCTGCTTCTTTCCTCCTGGTATAATCCCAGCTTTGCAGGCCTGCTACATCCTGATGAGTGTTTGACAGAGGGGGGGCGGGGGGGGACACAGCCATGATCAGGAGACAAAAAACCATATAACTATCCACACTCCCTAATGACTCCAAAGAGAATGGAATCATTCCTGTGAATGGGAAGATAATGAGCAGAGATACAAGAGCTGTTTCAAGTTTTGAAACAAGGCTTCTAGAATGGATGAGCTGCTGTAATGAAGTGGGGAAGCTCACTTTCTTGAGTTCCACTGATCTATTTGTTTGAATGGCACCAGCAGGCAGGTTGAGTCCTGTGCAGAGACCATTTATTTCAGCTGGAATCCAAAGAGATTTGCACACCCTCTCCACTGAGTTTGGGAATCCCAGTTGAATTTTGACATAATAAAATAAACAAAACAAAACAAAACACATCCCCTTCATCTCAGGCTTGTCACTGTTGTTGTTCATATTATTAGGGGCAGCAGAAGATTTATAGCTCACCTTTTCTCCAAAGAGCTCAAGGCAGCATTCTTGACTGCCCGCCTCATATTTTATCCTCGCAACAACCCTGTGAGGTAGGTCAGGCTGAGAGGCAGTGACTGGCCCAGGATTACCTTGTAAGTTTTGTGGGTGGGTGGGGATTGGGACTAGTCCAGCACTCTCACCAAGACAACCTGCTGGCATGTTTGATGTCAGTGGAGGGCTGCTTGTAACTCCAGAGCCTTACAATCTATTGTGTGCTGCCTCGGCTCAGTTTTATAAGGGTCTTCTATAACTGCACATGAGCTGGGAGTGTGTACTTCTCCGCTTGCAAATTGGCCCCTAAGGCATGGGTGGGGAGAGGGCTAATGGGCTTATGTTCTGCATGTGGACATCTGACTGGTCACTGTGGGAAGACCAATCCCCTTCCCTGGGGGGCGGCATTGCTGGTGTGCATCTGGGACCTCCCAGTGACCCGGCAGTGGGCGGAGGGATGCTGCCCACGTCATTAGGACTCCCAGCCATGTCACGCCCTGGCTGACCAATCGGGTTAGCCGGGGGGCTGTTTAAACTGCGTTGTGGCTGGGGGGCCGACCTCCATTCACCTTCTTGTCGGATCTCCCAGCCCACCCTCCCTCTTTTTATGCATTGCTTGACTTTGGCCTTGCTATGGACTAACGTCAATCGCCTGGTTGTTGGGCGCCAGGTAGGAATTTTTCCACTTGGCAAATTGGCACCAGCCATTTGGTTTTTGCCAACCTTGTAGCAATCATCACAACTTTGTAAAGTTAGGCGTTGGGTAAGCCTTGTTTATAGGGACGCGGGTGGCGCTGTGGGTTAAACCACAGAGCCTAGGACTTGCCGATCAGAAGGTCGGTCGTTCGAATCCCCGCAACGGGGTGAGCTCCTGTTGCTCGGTCCCAGCTCCTGCCAACCTAGCAGTTCGAAAGCACGTCGAAGTGCAAGTAGATAAATAGGTACCGCTCCGGCGGGAAGGTAAACGGTGTTTCTGTGTGCTGCTCTGGTTCACCAGAAGTGGCTTACTCATGCTGGCCACATGACCCGGAAGCTGTACACCGGCTCCCTTGGCCAATAAAGTGAGATGAGCGCCGCAACCCCAGAGTCGGCCATGAGTGGACCGAATGGTCAGGGGTCCCTTTACCTTTAAGCCTTGTTTATGGGAGGGGAGGTTGTTGCCTCCACCTGCCCCTCCTCATTAAGGGTATCCCGTTAAAAGCATCCGGGTGTGTGTGTGGATCCTGTCTGAAGCCTGGGCGTGGGCTAGGGCTATGCCACAACCCCATTGGTGACCCTGGGGGTGCTCTTAATTGATGTATATCATAGGGCTCCCCTTATCGGTGGTTGACCCTTCAGAGACTTCCTGCAGACGGGCAGGAGTCAGGATATAGTCTGGCTTCACCCAAATACACCAAACCGCTTGCATCTGCAACCAATAAAGTTGTGGCCTAATTTATCTCAATTAACCCAATATATTCATGTCTGTGTGTTTATTTCTGAGGGAACTGCGGGGCCCGGGGCCTCGCCACGCAACAGGGTGCTGAACTGGCTGGACTGGGCGCCTGATGCAACAGGTTCTTCTTCTGTCTTTATCCTCTCGCTCCTGATTAAATCGAAGGAATATTTCCAGCCACAAGTCTGCTCCACAGTCTTCCCTAGTGTTTCCATTGTATTGATTTTCATTTATTTGTTTGCTTGCTTGCTTGAAAGACTGTAAACTGAGTACCTAAAGAAAAGAGACAAAGCCCATATTTACATTTCTTTTACACTTCAGGAAAGAATGCAGGCTCTCCTTTCCTCCCTACACACCCTTAATTCACTCTTCTCCTCTGACAAAGCATAAGCACCAGGTTTTTCTTCCCCTCAGCCGTTCTGAAGCTTCTGATCTTAAAGCACCTCTCCTTCTCAGTCCCCCCCACCCCAGACAATGATTCATCTTGCTGAGCATTTGAAATATGATTATTATTTTTTTCCCCTTCCCAGATTGGGAAGCTGTTTGTTCAAACGTGTGGATTTGGTCTTCTACTTCTGAGGACTGTAGCACATTTGTAGCATGTAAATTGGAAAGCAAACAGACAGGCACACTCTAAAACTTTGGCAAGGTGTGAAAATAGTGAAGCCAAAACAGGGTCTGCCAAGTATTTTTGAGAGTGCATCTGGGTGGGCCGAACTATCCAGCTGTTGCTGATAAAATGAATGGGTTTGTGTCAGTGTTTTCAATTTTCAAGATTTTAAGTCTTATTTGTCCTTCACCAGTCTCAGGACTTAACTAGATGGGATGAGGATGATCATTAGTAATAATATTATTTACCTTCCCTTCATCCTAAGGTCCCAGGATGCAACATACAAAATTAAAAACAGTTTAAAACAAACCGCAATCACAAAACAGGGTGCATCCTAAATCTATACAGCTCAGGGGTCAAAGGTCAGGGTAAAGAGGTGTGTCCAGCTATCACTGAAAACTGTGGAAATGCCAGATGTAGGAAGTCCCACAGTTTAAGGGCTCCCACAGATAATGCCCTCTCCTGGGTCACACACAGAGGCGGAACAAGGCGGGTGCGGCACTTTCCAGGTGCCATCCTGATGGGGGTGACATTCCGCCCCCCGCCTGCCCGCGACTCCCAAGCCTACAGCAACCCGGGGAAAGGGGGCAGCTGCAAAGTGATGCGCAAGGGAAGCCTACCCACTAGACGTTGGCTCTGCGCGGCTTTGCAGCTCCAGCTCTCTCAGAGCTGCAGCCACGAGCAGGGGATCCCACCGCCGTCCATATGTCAGCGCGTGCACGGCATGTAGCGGTGCTGCACATGTGCCTTAAGTACGGCGCATGCACATGTGCCACCAGGCGGTTTGTCCCACCCCCCGACACCCCGCACTGGGTGCCGGTTAGCCTTCCTTCGCCCCTGGTCACACATCCACAGATGAGCTTCTGAGAGTGGCATTACTACTAAGAGTAGTAACACCAAAGAGAGTCTGTAGGGAAAGAGTCAGTCTTTCAGATATTTGAGGCCCGAGTCTTTTGGGGATGTGGGTAGTCCTTTATTGGATCTCCTACACTGGCTTTCCTCCAGATATTTTGAACTAGCTCCCATCAGCCCCACATGAATCCCCACATCACTTCCAGTCTGAGCAGAAGGAAGAAGGGTATTCGCTGATGCTGTGCAAGGGACGATTCTTCCCCCAAAAGCAGTGCCAGATTTACATATAAAGAAGCTATAGCTTAGGGCCCCACTCTCTTGGAGGCCCCCACAAAATGATGTTGGACATCACAATTGCTGAATACACAAAGCTTCGCATCTTGTCTTTCATCGTACAAAGTCTGGTACCTTGCTTCATTTAAAGATTTTCAGAGACTTTGAGACTAAAGATTTCATTTTGGACTTCTTATGGTTTGAAGGAATTCTATAAAAGATTGTTTATTGCGTATGTACATGGTCATCGTGTTGCCTAGACATTGCTGACGTTCTCTTTGCAACACAGGGGTTTGTTTGGTTACTTATTGCTTTTGATGTTGGCTTGAAGGAATTGGCCCACCAAATGAAGTTCCCAGTTGCATCTGCCCACTTCTCCTAAAGGATTGTGGAGGATGGGTCTAGTTCCCAGCCTCTATCTTAGATTATAGCTAAGCTTCTCAATTGATGCTGGCTTTTTTTTATATAGGAAAGTCATGCCAATTTCAGCAAAATTCTCCCGAGTTTATGCAAGAAGGAGCCTTCCACCTTTGCATGCTCTGAAAGGAATCTAGGGGCTCTTTGTCAAAGCGGCACGAGTTTTCTGACAGCTTCATTGAAGTTCTCTTCGGAGAACGTCTCTGGAAATTCTTCTGCAGAAGCCCCACTGATGTACATCATTCATTTCCGATGGGCTTATGTCTGACAACTTCCCAGTTCTATCCAAAAGACTTTCAACAAAGCTGTGCTGTCAAAAAAAATCCTTAGAAACTTAATGAGCCATATCTGTACCACAAGCCGGGATCCAAGTTCTTCAAGGCTGAGAGGCCCATAGGAGAATGCAGTGTACATTCCTTTGTATATGCTATGTGTGTTTCTGGGTGTGTGTATGGAGGTGTAGGACTGCAAAGAGTACCTTAAAACCCAGCAGTCAGGCAGGCCCAGAGAGAACACAGCTCAAGTCAGGCTAAAAATGAGTGCAGGGGCTAAGTACGCACAAAACCTGTTAGGTAGGATTTATTTATTCATTTCATAAAATTCATATACTGCTTGATTGTTGAAAAAAGCCTCAAAAGTGGTTTACAAATGTGACAAAACAATAAAATCATCACTAAAAAAATTTACAATCATAATTTCAAATATACAGAAGGTTAAACCTGCAATAAAATAGACTAAAACAAACTAAAACTCCTACAATGTATCAGTAAAAATGTTTTCAGCAGGTGCTAAAATGTAATGCAGTGGAGGTGCCTGCCTGATATCATTAGGCAGGGAGTTCCAAAGGACATTCTTTCCCTCAAAGAACTCTGGACACTGTAGTTTGTTAAGAGCTGCTGGGAATTGCAACTCTGTGAGGTGTATACTACAGTGCCCAGAATTATCTTGTATTTTTGTGTTTTTAATATTTTGTTGGAAGCTGCCCAGAGTGGCTGGTGAAACCCAGCCAGATGGGTGGGGGTATAAATAACTTATTATAATATAATAAATTATTATTATTATTATTATTATTATTATTATTATTATTAATCATCTGAGGGAAATAATGTGTTTCAATTGTGTGTTAAAGGTACAGTGTTTACACAGCCTGAATCAAAAGTTCTCAAGAGAGCACTTTCACTTTGAAAAGGGATGGGAGAGTGTTGGGTTTTTCCTTGATTTCATGGTGGTAATTTTACAACAATTTATTTGTCTCTTAAAAATGAAACTAAGCATGACTTACAGATGTTATTAGAAATAATAATAATAATAATAATAATAATAATAATAATAATAATATTTTTTATTTATACCCAACCCTTCCTGGTTCAGAAAACTGGGTTCAGGGTGGCTAACAACAAATTTAAAACACTTAATTGTAGAAGCAACATAAAATACAGTATAAAAACATGAATAACAATAAAATTCAACGTTCAGAAATCAATTTGGGGAAAATCCATCTAATAAGCATTAGATAGTCACCAGGGCTAGCTGGCTGAATTAGTCCTACTTGAGCCAGTGAGGGGGCCAGGGGAGAATTAGCTGTGGGGTCTCAGAGCGGGTAATCTTCATAAAAGAGGAGGGGGGAAGAGAAGGGAAATAAAAGATCAGGCTGAATTCAAATTAAAGGCCAGGCGGAATAGCTCTGTCTATTAGACATAGAACACATTGGGAGGCAAACTTTTTGATGGGCTTGGAAGTTGCTTCTGGGAATGGGAGTTCTAAATGTGTATGTGGTAAACTCAGAACCCCTCATTATATATGTAGGCAAAACTTGCCATATAACCATATAGATTGCAAAAGATGGAATTGGGATTCAAGATGGCCTTAACAGACTGGAGAACTGGGCCCAAACTAGCAAAATGAATTTCTATAGGGACAACTGTAAGGTTCTGCACTTAGGCAGGAAGAAGTAGTTGCACAAAAATAAGATGTGGAACACCTGGCTTGCCAGGTCTAGATTTAGGGGTTTTAGTAGGGCACAAGCTTAACATGAGTCAACAGTGTGATGCAGCAGCAAAAATGGCTAATGCTATTCTAGGCTGCATCAACAGAAGTATAGTGTCCAGATCAAGGGAAATAATTGTTGGCATCTGTCTGCCTCAAGTGACAATGGAGTGCGCTTGTAGGGGTGAAGCTAAACTGTTGCATTAGTGGCAGCAAAGTGACCTCCCTGGGGCACGAGTGTGGAGGGTATGCATACCCTCCAACAGTTCTCCGATGAAAATAGGGACGTGCAATTCTATAATGATAATTTTACTATTTATACCCGCACATCTTCCTGGGTTGACCCAGTCACTCTGGGCAGCTTCCAACATATATAAAAACATAATAAACTTCCCTATACAGGATTGCCTTCAGTCCACTTGGGGGTCAGATAACTCCATACCCTTCAACATACTCCCAGTGAAAATAGGGACATTCTGCCACGCCCTCCAACGTTTCTCCAATGAAAATAAGGACATCCTAAGGAAAAGTGGGACATCCCAGGATCAAATCAGAAACCGGGATGGCTTCTCTAAATCAGGGATGTCCCTGGAAAATAGGGACATTTGGAGGGTCTGTGCATGGAGGTCCTGGGCTTCCTGGATAACAAGACCCCTCTCTCAGCCTCACTGATGTGCTCCAAAGGAAAACAGAGCAATATGTTTGGCACCAGCTTGGCTGCAGGAGTTGCTGGAAAGAGGCATGTAAGGCACCATCCAACAGTCTTAGATTAATCCACTCTGGATTAGTATACTTCCCAAAGACATCCCACAAGACATCCTCAAGGCAGCAGAAGTTTAGGATCAAAGCTTTCCTTCTCCTAGACTGGCTACCTTCCCAGTTGATGAGCCCCATCGGCCCCTCACTTCCCCCTATACAGCACATGCAGAAACCGCCTCCTTAAGGGAATTAATCATAGTACTCTATTCTGCCTTGGTCAGACCACACTTCTGGCCGCCACAGTTTAAGAAGCATATTAACAAGCTGGAACGTGTGTAGAGGAAGGGTAACCAAGATGATCAAGGGTCTAGAAATCAAGCCTTATGAGGAACAGTTGAGGAAACTGAGTATGTTCAGCTTGGTTATGAAGAGACCAAGAGGAGATAAGAGAACAAATATGGAACAATCTCTGGGGACTGGAACCCAAGCCAATGGATTCAAGTTACGAGAAAGGAGATTGCACCTAAACGTCAGGAAGAACTTTCTGCTGTTCGACAATGGAACAGACTGCCTCAGGAGTTTGCAGACTCTCATTCCTTGGAAGTTTTGAAGCAGAGGTTGGATGGCCATTTGTCCTGGATGCTATACTTTAGATTCCTGCATCGCAGGGGGTTGGACTAGATGATCCTTGGGGTCCCTTGAGTCTACAATGCTATGATTGTTCCTACTGAAAAAACAGGAAGACAAACAAGAAGCCCATGTAGCTGTCTGGACAGTTTGTAATGATATGGCACTCTTGCATGACAATTGATACCTGTTGGAAATTAAATGAAGCTATTAGTGTCATTTGGCCACAGTCTGCCCTTCCAACCAGTCTGTTAAAAAGGAGAAACAAACTCAGTCACTCAGTGAAAAGGAATTAATGGCAGATCTGGTTTCTTACCCCTCTGGGATAAAGGAATTTGATCACCCTCCCGCACCTGCTTTGTGGGTGAGAGCAAAGTGTATCAAAGCGAGGCCAAGGGGAATCACTCTTTTTGAAGATGCATTTGGTGCCAAAGGGATACGAGGCTTCACGGTCAATCGATAGAGCTGTAGGCGTGCTGGGAATCGAATGCCATCTGACTGAAAAATTGGTGACCTAAGACCCAATCCATATTGCCGTCATGGTTCGGGGGTGTTAAACAACAGCACTGGGTGGAGGAAAGTGGGAAATTGTAACAGGCCAAGCATCTTAGTCCTCTTTCAAATCTAGTCGATGGGACCATGTCTTGCATAAAACATGAGGATTTAATAGAGCTGTTGTGGCCAACAGGCCAATGAAGGGTGTAAGTACAATCTGCCTTTGGGACGAGAGTGTTCATGCTATGACCCAGTTCTCAGTGATGTGGGAAATTATGGCTGGGCTGTACCACCTCTGAGCACTCTGTGTGTGTGGATATGTTTTTGTTGCTGGGGGCGGGGTTGTAATCGAATGCTTCTCCATACAAACTTGAGGGTTCTAACTGAATGTTTCTCCATACAAGAAAAAGTAAATAAATCCCTGCACTTAATAGCAACCATTGGGCTAGAGTTCTATGAGGATTACAGAAGGAGAGAGGGGGTCAGACTGTGCCTTGGCCAAAGGCCTGGTGGAACAGCTCCGTCTTGCAGGCCCCGTGGAAAGATGTCAAGTCCCACAGGGCCCTAGTCTCTTGTGACAGAGCATTCCACCAGATTGGGGCCACGGCCGAAAAAGCCCTGGCTCTCGTCGAGGCCAGCCTAACTTCCCTGTGGCCTGGGATCTCCAATATGTTTTTATTTGAAGACCGTAAGGTCCTCCATGGGACATACTAGGAGAGGCGGTCCTGTAGGTACGAGGGTCCTAGGCCGTATAGGGCTTTAAAGGTTTAAACCAGCACCTTAAACCTGATCCTGTACTCCACCCGGAGCCAGTGCAGCTGGTATAGCACTGGGTGAATGTGATCCTGCAGCAAGGACCCTGTAAGGAGTCTCACTGCGGCATTCTGCACCCGCTGGAGTTTCTGGGTCAGTCTCAAGGGCAGCACCACGTAGAGTGAGTTACAATAATAAGCCTGGAGGTGACCGTCACGTGGATCACAGTGGCTAGGTCAGGGCAAGAGAGGTAAGGAGCCAACTGCTTAGCTTGGTGGGGATGAAAAAATGCCACCTTTGTTATAGCTGCAACCTGCGCCTTCATAGAAAGGGAGGTGTCAAAGATTACACCCAAACTCTTAATAGAAGGTGCTGTCACTAATTGCGCCCCCGCAAGAGATGGGAGTTGGCCCCCCAATCCCATATCGTCCCAACCCAGCCAAAGGACCTATGTCTTCGAAGGATTTAACTTCAACCATCTCCCAAACATCTGATCAGTGTGTCTGGGACCGAGTCAGGATCGCCGTCCATCAACAGATAGAGTTGGGTGTCATCAGCTTACTGATGGCAGCCCAAACCAAAACTCCGGGCAAGCTGGGCGAGGGGGTGCATAAAGATGTTGAAAAGCATCGGGGAGAGTATTGCACCCTGTGGCACTCCACACACCGACACTCCACTGTACCACCTCTGAGCACAGTTTAGGGAGTATTGCAGTTGAATGCATCTCTCTCTCTCTCTCTCTCTCTCTCTCTCTCTCTCTCTCTCAAACAAAACAAAACAAAACACACACAAAAAACCCCCCAAACAAAACCATGTTTTCCGGAAGAGATTATCCTATAACTACGGAGCTGAGCCATTTACCCCCATGTCAGTATTAGCTTGAGCCACTGCTGAACCAAATCCAGGTAGCTTATCAGTGCAAACTACTGTAAAGATTCTCCTTTTTTGGGGCTGCCTCTGGGAAAACTGAGAGTTTGAGTCAAATGCCTGTTCCTCATGGGAGACACTCTTAATCCAACTGCCCCCTGCCGGGATTGGGTTTTAGTCTCCTCCACATTTTCTCAAAGGGAACTCTGCAAAAGATCCCCCTAGCAAAACCAGAGAGAAATCTCTCTAAGTCTTTTTTTGAAGAAGTGCTCCTAGGAAGACTCTTAGGGTAGGGGAACAATCCTCCCATGAGCTACTCTTGGGCTAAGAGGGTGCCCTGTGAATGTACACTTTGGCCAACCTCCTCCAGTCCCAGTTTTTCCATGATCAGCTCTTTAGCAGGGAGATGTCTCCAGGTTGGATTTTAATCCATGACAGGAAGCTTTTCATAGAATCATAGAATCATAGAATCATAGAGTTGGAAGAGACCACAAGGGCCATCGAGTCCAACCCCCTGCCAAGCAGGAAACACCATCAGAGCACTCCTGACATATGGTTGTCAAGCCTCTGCTTAAAGACCTCCAAAGAAGGAGACTTTTAATATCCGAAGGACTATTGTATTTTAATATTTTGTTGGAAGCTGCCCAGAGTGGCTGGGGAAACCCAGCCAGATGGGTGAGGTATAAATAATAAATTATTATTATAATCCATGACACTAAGAAGAATTCACAGGCCTCTTTGTTTTTGGGTTTTTGTTTTGTTTTTTTGGTCTCTGACTGCAGTTTATTGCACCATGCCTGGATGAGCTCCAGGCTCAGCAAAACACACACACTGGGCTCCAAGAGGCAGAGCTGGCTTTGCAGATGGAGCTGAGACTACCTCGGTCATGCCGATGTGGTTCCCATGGTTTATTGATCAGAAGCTGCACTTCAATGTGCCACACTGAGATGGCATTGGCTGGCATGGCTGCAGAAATGGGTTTCCAGGACTGGGAAGCAATTCATGTGTCCTAGTAGATCTTGAGGATGATGTTGTTAACATTCCTGGAACCAGGAACCTTTAATGCAGTGGACACCCCAGAGTTAACACAGAGGAGATCACCTTTTTTGGTACTTATGTGGCCAGTTTCACCTGGTCAGCACAGAGCAGGAATTTCTGGACATGTTCAGTGCAGTTGACTACAGACGTCCGGTTCAGTTTAAGACACTGTTCGAATGCAGCAAAAGGTTCGATCATGGCGGATTTTCTGTAGAATTGGGATGTCATTTCTGCAGCCCTGAGGCCGGATCCTGTCCCTAGGCCTTCTCCTCTGAAACTAATTTCTGAGCCCAGTAAAGCTGCCCTGCACCTCCAACTCTAACACCCCAGTCCTTTTTGTACATGGTTCCCACTCCCATATGGTGAAGCATTGAATTATGTGAGCTGCCATTTACAGTTTGAAGGGGGAGCATAAGAGCCATGAGCATCTAACCCAGGTTCCTGTTTCCCACAGTGACCTTTCAGATACCCCAATGGGAAGCATGCAAGTGGGGCTTGAATGTAGTAGCCCTCTCCCACTGCTGAAATTATAGGATCCTCATTTCATCGGACCAAGTGTCTATATCCTGCTTCTGACCAGTCAGATGCATCCAGGAAGCCCACAAGCCCTGGCCTCTCCTGCTGTTGCTGCTCCGTCATTGGTATTCAGAGGCTTATTGCTTCTGAACATGGTTGCCCCATATAGCAGTCCTGACTACAGGCCATTGATGGAGTTATACAGTAAGCAGCGCAGCCAAGACACAGGTTTACCACCTTGGGGCGAAATAAACTGCTGTGGTAGTTAAAAAGCAATTAAAAATTGAGTTAAGCTCCCAACCCTCCTAAAAGGTGTGATTGATCTCCTCATTTTTCCATATTATGTAGTAGACTCAGACTGATGTAATGAGGATAACATTAAAAAACATAATAAATCTGCAAAAGGCAGGGATGGGGTAGGATAGGAAGAATCTCCCCCTCCGCAGCCACACACTGCAGCACCCTGCAATGTGTCATCCATCTTCCATAGCTGAACCAAGTGGCTTCTGTTTTCACCAAGATGCAAGAGAGAGAGAAAAAATGCCAACATTTATGCAAAGTTATGTTTCCACTCAGATAGAATTAATGCACATGTATATGCCAGAAGAGCCATAGATCAGTGGTAGTGTGCATGCTTTGCATGCAGAAGGCCCCGGATTCAATCCTTTGCATCTCCAGTTAGAAGGATCCGGTAGCATCCGAACGGAAATATCTCTCTTTGCCTGAGACCCCAGAGAAGACCTGCTTTTCCCAGTTTGGTGCCCTCCAGATATTTTGGGCTACAGCTCCCATTGTCTGTGACTGTTGGGCAAGCTGGCTGGGGCTTCTGGGAGTTGTAGTTCAAATAGTCTGATCTGGTAGAAGGCAGGTTATTTTGTTCCATACTTCATTGAATGGTCTATGCAACCTTTAGACTGAAAAAGAGAGGGTGGATTCATAGCTAAAGCTCTAGAGCATGGGTAGACAACTTAGTTCCCTCCAGTTTTTCATGCCGGCTGGGGCTGATGGGAGTTGAAATCCAGCCACTTCTAGAGGGCCACTGGTTCCCTACCCATATTTTAGTGTCATTTATACACACACACACACACACACACATTTATATTTTGCTCTATCCCCAAGGTTTAAATTTCCAATTTCAATTTCCAATTCTATACAGTGCAATGCTGGTTCTCGAATGTCTTAGTTGATGAACAAATCGGCTCCCGAACACTGAAAACCTGGAAGTAAGTGTTCAAGTTTTCGAACATTTTTCGGAAGCTGAACGTTGGATGTGGCTGTCAGCTATTGTTTCCGGGGTGCCTGCACCAATTGGAAGCTGTGGCTTGGTTTTCGAACGTTTCAGGAGTCGAACGGAATGGATCCACTGTATTTAAAAAGAAATCTAGAGCTTTTCCTTTGGTAAGCAGTGCTTCCTAGCTTGATCGCATGGGCAATCTTACCCAGTCAGGGATCACACAGTAAGTGAGATAATACATTATGCATTATAGGGTCATTTCTATGCATAGAGTTGTAGAGTTGGAAGGGACCCCGAGGGTCATCTAGTCCAATCCTCAGCAAGGCAGGGATATGCAGCTGTGCAGTACAGGGATCAAATCTGTGACCATGGTGTTATCAGCAGCATGTTCTAACCAACTGAGCTATCTACCTGGACATAGCACAATGCTATGGAGGCAATGTAGTGTGTGTGTGTGTGTGTGTGTGTGTGTGTGTGTGTGTGTGTGTTAGGGGAGGGCTAGTACCTCTGATGGGGACACATTGTGCTCCTTCTGGGGGAGTTTGTCCACCTTTGGTCCCCACCTTACACTCAGGTCTCACCTCACAAGGTCCTAGAAGCTGTCAGCCTGTGACAGCGGCCACACCCTGGGAACAGCCATGCCTGGCCATCTAAACTAGATGAGGGAAGCCAGTGGGTCTCAAACCATCTGTGAGTTAGTGACGTTCCCTGTATGTGAAGACAGGCCCCAGTGGATTGAGAAGACGAGACGGGTACTGAGTCAAGAAGACATGTGCTGTAGAGGGGGAAATCTGTACCTCTTGCCTTGCAGGACATCTTCAGGAGAAGAAAAAGCTAAGGAGTAAACCCTACACAAATCTGGAGTCCCTAAAACAGTTGGGCTGCCTTGTACGCCTCCTTCCAGCTACTGCTACAGTCAAGCTGGTGCCCAACATATTGCTCTGCTTTCCTTTGGACCACATCAGTGAGGCTGAGAGGAGGGTCTTGTTGTCTGGGCAACCCAGAACCTCTATATACACCACCCAGGCTTGTGCCCCAGAGAGGTCACTGCAGTGCTGCTAATGCAGCAAAAACAACACAGGAGCCAACAGTTACTAGTTACTTGTTTCTGCAGCCACAGCAGGTGCTGTCATTTTCCAGCGGTTGGGCTTCACTCCCAGAGGTGCACTCTGTTGCCTCTTGAGACAAATTGGTGCCAACCACCATGTAGGCAATAGATGATTGTGCAACTTGAGCAATTGACAGCATGTTTCCCATGCATAAAATGCTAGATTCAATTCCCAGCACCTCCAAGTACATTGAGGAAAGGTCCCTGTCTGAAGCTCTGGAGATCCCTTGCCAGTCAGCAGCCACTGAACTGGAGTTGGGGGTGGCAATGGCCTTAGTCCAACACATGTTGCTATGCTCCTGTGTTCTAAATCCACCTCCCTCACCTGGTGCCCACCAGATATTTTGGATTACAACTCCCATCATCCCTGACCTTTGACACTGGGTGATGGGAATTGTAGTCCAAGACATCTGGAGGGGATCTGGTTGTGGAAGGTTCATCTGGACCTGGTGAAAATAATTAATAATAATAATAATAATAATAATAATAATAAACCATTTGGGAAAGGGGTTAATGGTACTATAGCTCAATAAGAATTCCCTGGTCTTCCCTAATCATAATACAGAACAAACAGGAGCAAAAAGGAACCAATGAAATGTGGTCTCCGCTGTGAAGAATAGGAGCTAGCTTTGGTTTATTTAATTCCAAGCAAGGAAATAAGAAGAGCCCAGTGTCCTTATCTCTACAGATACCAACCAAATACCTCTGGGAAGCTCTCGATTAGAACATGAAGGCAACAGCTCTCTTCTGCTCTTCCTCCCTAGCAATTTTACTCCTGATCATGGAGATAATCACATCACTTATTGTGGCTTTTAGACTTCTCCTCTGCGAATATGTTTAATCTTTTTTAAGAGCATCTAAGCCACTGACTGCCACCATGTCTCCTGGCAGTGAACTAGAAGCATAAGAACATCCTGGCTGCTGGATCAGACCAAAAGCCTACCTATGGCAACATCTTGTTTCCCATGGTAGCCAGCAAGATGCCTCTGGGAAGCCCACCTGCAGGACTTCAGGGCAGCAGCTCTCTCCTGCTGTTGATCCCCAACAGCTGGTGCTCAGTAGCGTTCTGCCAAAACCAGCCTCCCATTTCTGGAAGGTCTTTTTCCACAGCAAAATAAGTTTCCATTCCCCAGCGTCATTCACAGGACGCTTTTCAGAATTTTGTTGGGTGTAGGCAGTGCTATTTTTCACCATGAACTTTTCATTTGTTCTCTTATAATGGCAATGGCACCTACCTGAGAGCTGCTGGAGCTGAGCTCTGGCTGAAGAAAAGCCCTGGGTGTAGGATTGAGGAACACAGGAACCTGCCTTGTGTGGAATCAGACTAACAGTCCATCTAGCTTAGCATTGTCTACGCTGCCTGGCAGTGGTGCATGCAGGGAACCTATTCCCAGCCCTACAGGGAATTGCATCTGGGGCTTCATGAAAAGCAGATGTTCTGCCACTCAGCCCTCTGAAGTTGAGCTGTCTTTATTATTGTGAGGTGGCTGCGCATGGAGTGTGTGTTCTGCTTTCCATTAAACACTTCTTCAGCACTCTGCAGCCTCCCTGGCTGAGTTCTCTCATGATATCTCCTCCTGGTTTTTAACTGAAGTGTGGGAAGCTAGGACTAAGTGTGGTCATTGGTTACATTTTTAAGTGTGGCCGTTTTCTTTTTCCTTAAAAAAATAAATAAATCTGCACTCATTTCTTTTACAGCTTTTACTTTGAAAAAATAACAATGACCAGCTGCTAGGCAAATGCTAGAGAGCATCCTTGCTTTGCTGCTCTTGCAGGAAAGCTGTACATGGGACGTCATGGGGTTGTCAGGAGGTGTGGGCACCTGGGAAGGCTACAGAATGCAGGCCATCAAACTGATGATTTACAGAGTGCAAGAAAGGACCTTCACAAACACCATTGAAAATAAGGGAAGCACAACAGAACTCCTTTCCTTCAATAGTGTTTGAATAGTTTCATTGAATCATAGAATTGTAGAGTTGGAAATGACCCCAAGGGACATCTAGTCCAATGCCCTCCAATGCAGGAATCTCAACTTTAGCTTCTGACCTCTGCTTAAAACCCTCTAAGGAAGGAGAGTCCATCACCTCTCAGTTCCACTTCCGAACAGCTCTCACTTTCACCAGGTTGGGCACTGCTTTCCTTTTGGGTGAAGACAGAGGCAAAGTAGATGTTGAGCAGTTCTGCCTTCTCTCTATCACCAATAGCATTTCTCCATCTTCTCTAGGCTTGCTCTTCCTCTTGCTTTGAACATAGCTGAAGAAACCTTTAAAAAATATTTTAAAGCTCTCTTGCAAGTCTGAGCTCATTCTTAGCTTCAGCCCGCCTGACCACCTCCCTGCATCTGTTGGCTATCCATGTATACCCTTCCTTCATGATTTCTCCTTTCTTCAATTTCTTATCCATTTCTGTCTTACATCTCAGCTCATCTGCAAGCTCCTTATGCAGCCACACCAGTTTCTTTAGGTCCCTCACACTTTTTTTCTTTTCTCAAGTGATGGGTAATGGGTAAAAGAAAAAAACAACAACAGGAGAGAATTCCACTATCCAGTTTCACATTTCTCTGAATCTGGAGCTGCTGTGCAGCCATCATGACTGACAGCCATTGATTGACTTCTCATCATCTGTTCAATAACTTAAAGAAAAACTGACATCAGTGCTTTTGTCATATGCACCTAGGTTTATATGTAATAGTTTAATGAAGAAGTAATCAATTGGCATGATTGATGGGGAGTCATCTAAATCAGCAATGGGGAACCTATGGTCAGTGCTGTCTTTAGCATATGTGGCGCCGGGGTGCAAAAAGCCACCCATCGCAGGCCAATGAAGTTGTTGAGCTTTTTTTAGGGGGGCAGCTCAGGGTGATCCCCACAGAGGCTTGGGAGGGAAGCTGCGCACCCTCCAGCCATATAGGTGGCGGGTGCTCAACTCTGTCCCACGCCACTGCGGGAGGAGAGCATTTCCTGCAGAGGCTTGGGAGGGAAGCTGCATGCCCACCAGCCATCTGGCACCCCTCAGAATTCAGCGCCAGGGTGCCCCACACCCCTTCAATCAAGGGTAAAGACGGCCCTGCCTATGGTCCTCCAGATGTTTTTGCACTCCAGCCCCCATCAGCCCTGGCTAGAATGGCCAAAGAGCAGTGGTGATGGGACTTGTAATCAAAGAACATCTGGAGGGCCACAGGTTCCCCCCTTGACCTAAACATCCTTTGATCCATTGATAGCCCTCCTAGAATCCTCCTGTGAATCTTTAATTCCCAGTGGCATTGCTATTGTATGTGGTGGTGGTGGTGGTGAATAAGATTGAGGGGATTGAAAATGTAGTATGAGACCCGACATATGTGCCAGTTTCACCTAATGAAATACTGATTCCCTGGAACAGGTTCAGGATTTGCAATTAAGACCAATGAGAAATGAGCCAGCACCATCTGATGAGGATTCACTGGATAAACAATGCTTAATCCCAGTTGGGACGCCAGCCATTAAATAAGAGGCATACGGATATTTGCTTAAGCTAACGATTGTCAGTAAGGCTTAATCTGCAAAAAGTTTAAGGATCAAATGCTTAGTCTGGTATAAACAGTGGACTCTAAATGGGATGCAAATACCCTTGATCCTCTTTAGTTCTCAGTTGGGTTAGGGTTGAAACTGGTCTTTGCAATTAATTTTCAACAGTTACCAAAACAGCCATCAAGTGCTTTTTCTCTCTTCCTCTCAGCAGTTGTTCACTGCTTGTTGAGAAATCTTGTGTAGGGAATGCCTTCAAATGACACACTATGGGAGCCTTCCAGACATTTTGGACTACAATTCCCTTCATCCCTGACCACTGGCATGCAGATGGTCCCAGGTTCAATCCCTACCATCTCCAGGTATGGCTGGGAATGTCCCTTCATCTGAAATCCTGGAGATAGCACTTAGCTAGGTGGACCAGTGGTCTGACCTGGTGGCTTCCTATGTCGTCAAGTCAGGGCAGACCCTCCTCTCCCATCAGGGCTCTACTGCCACAGCTACCATGCTTCCTCCCAGCAGAACCATCCCTGCACAATAGGCCTTGCATGTGAAATTGAAATCCCCCCACAGCTGGCGCGATGTTTAATGATTCTCTGAGCTGGGCTCCCTTCATTCCAAGTGGCAGGTTTTCACATTCTCGTTTGTGCGTTCATGGATCATTGCCTCCTCCTCAAAGCTTCTGCAATTGTCTTTTATTGTTAAAAACCAAAATGTTAATGCCTTCCATGCTGTTCTTCCCTTTAGTTCAGTGCTTTTAAATGCAAGGTTGAAAGGTAACAAGAACTTGGGAGGGGGGCGGAGCGGAAAAGCACATCGTAGAAGGCTGGAAAGCATTGCTCTTTGCCATCAATGTCACTCACTTTTTGTTAAGATTAAACACCACTGTTTAGGGAGTTGATAATATTCCTGCAGGGGGAACACAAGTCCATATGTACCTCATTGATATATGTGTTGCAGCAGTCTCAGGGCAGTGGTGGGGCTGTGGCAGGGATCAGTCGTTGCTGAACTCCAACTCCCGTCATGCTTGGCTCTTGGCCATGGCAGTTGGATCTGGGAGATGAGTCTCACAACATCTGGAGGCCCACAGTCTCCCCACCCCTGACTTAGCTTATGACCCTCTGGGTCCAATGGGATTTGTTTCCAGGTAAGTGTATGTTTAGTCTTTCAGCCAAAGTTTAATTAACAACAATTCACAGGGCTAAAGTGAAACAAGTCTTCCAAATCTGATGGTGAATTTGGGCAGGCTGTTTCCATCACTGGTTTATGACATGTTTCACAGTGGGGAGTTGCTTGTCATGCTGGAGGCTTCCCGTTATTTAGATATTTTTGTCTATTTTTAAAATGTTCCTTTCGCAGTCTAAGAAATGTGGCATAACGCATAACTGTGGTATGGCACAACACAAAATGGCTGCTGTGGAGGTGAGGCTGAGCCAGGGACTGAGCAGGAAGAGCAATTGTGCATTGTGGGTCCTCAGGAGATATTCATGGAGACCTTTCATAAGTACCAGAGGAGATGCGGGTGGGCTCACTGATGTCTGTGGGCACTGCATTGGTGACCCATGTTGTAGTTATCTTTAAGAGCTCCGGGAATGGATCTGCCATTTTTAACAGTATTGTCACAATGTTTTAAAAAATATTATTATTCTTCCTTTTGTGTTTTAGCAGGTGGGTGGGTGTGCATTTAAATATTATTGTGAGCTGTTCTGAGAAAGAGAATCTGGATCAAAAAGCAGTTCAGAACTTACATTTATGATAGTAAGTTTCATTTCTTTAGCTCTAGGCAGTGCCAAACTACAAGTAAAATAAACCATGCAGATTAAAACAGAAAATATAAAATAGCATGGAAATCAATTATATGTCTTTTAATCGATAACATTTTCATGCATAATTTTTCTTTGGCATTTCATAGCCGCCACATTGAGACAGACCAGGGGAAAGGCTCACACCTTTTGCATTCAAATAGTTCCAGGTTCAATCTCCAGGGAGCTTTCTAGATACAGCTACAAAACAGGTATTAATAACTGTACTACTTTCATTCATTCACTCAATTCATTTGTATGCTGTTTTCCCACACTTACAAAAATTATGCTCAAAGTGGATTACAATAAAGAAACAGGGATGCATTTCTAACAAACACTTTAAAAATTTGTAATAGCATATCAAAACAATAGCATAGCGACAATTTCATAACATAGCAAAACAATAGCAAATATAATACCTCAAAAAACCACATTCTGATACTATAAATATAAGAACATGCAGTATCCAACTGCAAAAAGAACAAGGCAGCTTCACTTTTTCACCTCCCTCCTAGAAAGACCCAAAGGTGTCATGGGCTTTGAAGACACTCGAACTCAGGACACAAAGGAGAAACATGCTAAGAGGAAGGCACAATTGGCACATCCACACAGTTATCAACCCCCACCAATGTCCCCACTGTGGAAGGACGTGTGGATCCAGAATTGCCTTTCACAGTCACTTACGGACTCATTGTTAAAACCGTGTTTATGGAAGACAATCTTATTCGGCTATGAGTGATCACCAAAGCAGAAGAGAAACACCCATCCGGTGATGCTATTTACAGTCTCTCTCATGCAGCCACTTGCAAAGCTTCCAATGGCAGGGGGTGGGGTAGCTGGAAACACGCCCCCCATGATTTTGCTCACCATTATTTCCTGTTTTTTTGGGTTCTACCAGCTCACTAGGGACGTGGGTGGCACTGTGGGTTGAACCACAGAGCCTAGGACTTGCCAATCAGAAGGTCAGCGGTTTGAATCCCCACGACAGGGTGAGCTCCCGTTGCTCGGTCCCAGCTCCTGCCAACCTAGCAGTTTGAAAACACGTCAAAGTGCAAGTAGATAAATAGGTACCACTCTGGCGGGTAATGTAGCCAGCATGACTAAGCCACTTCTTGCGAACCAGAGCAGTACACACAAATGCCATTTACCTTCCCGCCAGAGTGGTACCTATTTATCTACTTGTACTTGACATGCTTTCGAACTGCTAGGTTGGCAAGAGCAGGGACCGAGCAACGGGAGCTCACCCCGTCGCGGGGATTCAAACCACCTACCTTCAGATCGGCAAGCCCTAGGCTCTGTGGTTTAGACCACAGCTCCACCCGCGTCCCTCTACTTAAAGTAGACCCATTGAAATTAATGGAGATAGCTAACTTGTGTGTATTAATTTCAGTGGGTCCACTCTGCATAGGACTTAGTTGGGCACAACCCTTGAGATTCTGCTATTTCAGCAGTCCAGATGCCAGGGAAGAATTGAAGCCTCGCAGCACCCTCCAAAACACTGTTGGACTCCATTTCCCATCATCCCCAATAGAGCCGGCTCACCAATGAGGCAAGGTGAGGCAACTGCTTCAGGCAGCAGGATCCACAGTGGCAGCACATCCCAATGGAGATCTTTATCCCCCGCTCATTCCTGATAATCCCTTCTTCCCTGGTGGAGAGTAGGGCACACCATTTTGTGGTTCGCTTCAGGTGCCAAAATCTATTGGACCATCCCTGAGCTCTAGCCAATGGTCACAGATAACTGGCGTTGGGGAGAGCTGGTTGAGCTTGATCTCTGTTCATAATGAGTTTGTGGCAAAGTTTGCCATTAAAGCTGCCCCGTTTTGAATGTTGGTCATCTCCCTGTCTATAACCATAATCCCCTAAACACAAAACCTTGTATTATATGGTGCGTGTAGGTAACATTCATCCAAAAACTCAGAAGGAGATTGCTGTTGACGTAGTAAGATTGAGTGCTCTTCTTGATAAAAATGAGTGCCCTTCTTAATAGCAACAGTAATGATACTGACTTGTGGTTCACAAACACAGACAAAACACAGTTCTAACACCAACATCTATTCTCAAAATGCTGTGAATTCACTATTGAAATGTTCAAGGTCACCTTAAACTCCCCCACCCTTTTTATAGTATTTCTTAAAAATATTGGAACAATGAAAAAAATATCATTCTGTTCACCTTTATAATTACGGTTATTACATCTATAGAATGCCTGTCAACTTTTGTACAGTTGAACCAGGAATGGCGCAGCTGGGGGTCGCAGGTGGTGGAAGAGATCAACCCCTGTGTTCCTTTGAACTGCATAATCTGTTAATATAGACTTCTGAGGCTTTATCCTGAAAGCTGGTAAAAAAAGTAGGAAGAAGTTAGTGACTCATTTCTTGGGAACCAGCATTAGTAACGCCCATTCTTTGAAATTGTGAACATTCACAAATTGATAACACGGAACTACTACTACTTCTTCTTCTTCTTCTTCTTCTTCTTCTTCTTCTTCTTCTTAAAAAAAAAGAAAAAAGATTTTGGGCTGGACTTTGAATGTCTGAGCACTCTAAATATTCATAAATGGGGATGGGGGGGGGATTCAATTAAATTCACATTTAAAGGCAAACTTACCCAATTCACACTTTCTGAAACATGGACAGAAATGCAGCCATCCTTTGAAGTTCAAATTTCTCTGGATTTTGCAATAGCAGTTCTCCAGCCGAGTAATGCTTACAAAAATTCATATACTAGGCTTCAGTGTGTATTAAAATGTATATATTAGTGAATATAACTCATATTAGCAAAAGCTTTGCGAAAAATGTGTATGTAAGGCAAAATTGCATACAATTGTGTATATTTTCACTAAAATGTTGAGAAATTTTCTTAGTTTTTTATTAAAATTGCAAACTGATGTCAAAATACGACCTACTAAATTCAAGTCTGGACAAATGAGAAACTGAGAGAAACCAAAGCTGCCAGATTCACCCACTACCCCAACTCATAAATTTACACCATACTAATGGGGAATTTCTAAGTTAAGGGACAAATTATGCAATCATTGAAATGAATTAGTTCAGTTTTTCCTGAATTGCACTAGTTATTTTTTTTAAAGTCTCATCTGGCTGGCCACTGTGAGAAGAGGATGCTGGGATAGTTGAGACTTTAGCCCAGGCTTCCTCAACCTCGGCCCTCCAGATGTTTTGAGACTACAATTCCCAGCATCCCTGACCACTGGTGCTGCTAGCTAGGGATCATGGGAGTTGTAGGCCAAAAACATCTGGAGGGCCGAGCTTGAGGAAGCCTGCTTTAGCCTGATCTAGCAGGTCTCTTTATATATTCTTAAAATTGCACTGCTTTTTTATTTTTAAGAACACAGTTCTCTTAGTACATGAGAGGCATTGTGCCTGAATGAAGACTGAACTGAACAATGGGTACATAGGTACAAGTATGTAAGTTTTCATAAATATTCGCAAGCATGATCTGCAATTAGCCTTAACGTGCACACCCCATGGTAATAGGGCTGCAGCTTTGGCCAAGCCCTTCTGGATCTCAAGGCCCTCTCCACCTCCATCCTTGGGCCCCATCCCTGACTATTGGCCTTGGTGTCTGTGTGTGATGGCCTGGGACTCAGACTCAGAACCAGAGGAGTCTCAGTCTGCACCAGATCCTTTGCCTCAGACGGCATCTGGACCAAGTCTGGGGCCTGATTCTGAAGAGCCCCAGTCTGCACAGGTTCCCCTGCAACAAGCACCAGCTGGGCCGAGTCAGGGGCCTGAGCCTGCCCTGGCTCCAGATGTGGGGATTACCTCGTTGCCTTCAGCTGGACCATTACTTACAGTTGCTCCACTACCAGTTGGGTCAGGGGAGCCTGAGGTGGCCCCTGGGTCTAGTAACCCACCGACGTCTCCCAAACTGCAGAGATTAAGGTCTGAGAGAAGGAGAGACCTGAGTACTCGCAGGAGGAGTGCTCGCCTTCAGGTGAAACAGGGAGGTGAGTCACCGGGGGAACAGGACCGGCTGTTACCCCGACAAAGATAAAAGGCTGTCGGACCCCGCCCCAGGTTGCGGGAGCAACATTGCTGTTTGCTAGAACCTGCCTGAGACCCTGTGCTTGACCTAGCCTGGTTTCCTGCCTTGTGACCTGCCTTGACCCTGTCAGACTGACTCCTCATGGAATCCTTGGATTTGGGACCGGACCTGGACTGCGTTGCTCGTGTTAACCCTCAGGCCCAGCACACTGTGACTGTTAGGAGTTGGAATCCAACAACATCTGGGCACAGACACAGGTCCACCTCCTCTGTTGTGGATGTTCCAAGGATAAGACAGGCTGCTTGGACGCGTGAAACCAACCACCTGTCTCCTTGATCCTTGCCCATCCTGGCTAATAAAAGCAAGCCGGGAAGGGCTGGGCGATGGGCTCTGCAGGGTGGTGAATGCTTCCCTCTGTGAGGGAACATTCCCAGATCCGCTGAAAGAGGCGGTCATTAAACCGCTTCTTAAAAAACCATCTTTAGACCCGGCCAGTATGGCCAACTATCGCCCAGTCTCAAATCTTCCATTCTTGGGCAAGGTGATTGAGCGCGTGGTTGCTGAACAACTCCAGGCACGCCTGGAGGATGCGGACCATTTGGATCCCTTCCAATCGGGATTCAGGCCTCATCATGGGACTGAAACTGCCTTGGTCGCGCTGGTTGATGATCTCCGGCGAGCTAGGGACAAAGGTGAGAGTTGTTTCCTAGTTCTGCTGGATCTCTCAGCGGCCTTTGATACAATCGACCATAACATCCTTCTGGAACGTCTAGAGGGGTTGGGAGCTGGGGGCACTGTTATACAGTGGTTTCGTTCCTTCCTCCTGGGTCGTGTTCAGAAAGTGGTGGTGGGGGATGAGTGTTCAGACCCCTGGGCCCTCACTTGTGGGGTGCCTCAGGGTTTGGTTCTCTTCCCCATGCTTTTTAACATCTATATGAAACCGCTGGGAGAGATCATCAGGGGGTTTGGACTGGGTGTCCATCAATATGCAGATGATACCCAGCTCTACCTCTCTTTCAAATCAGAACCAGTGAAGGCGGTGAAGGTCCTGTGTGAGTGCCTGGAGGCGGTTGGAGGATGGATGGCGGCTAATGGATTGAAGTTGAATCCTGACAAGACAGAAGTACTGTTTTTGGGGGACAGGGGCGGGCTGGTGTGGAGGACTCCCTGGTCCTGAATAGGGTAACTGTGCCCCTGAAGGACCAGGTGCGCAGCCTGGGAGTCATTTTGGACTCACAGCTGTCCATGGAGGCGCAGGTCAATTCTGTATCCAGGGCAGCTGTCTACCAACTTCACCTGGTACACAGGCTGAGACCCTACCTGCCTGCGGACTGTCTCGCCAGAGTGGTGCATGCTCTAGTTATCTCCCGCTTGGACTACTGCAATGCGCTCTATGTGGGGCTACCTTTGAAAGTGACTCGGAAACTACAACTAATCCAGAATGTGGCAGCTAGACTGGTGACTGGGGGCGGCCGCCGAGACCACATAACACCGGTCTTGAAAGACCTACATTGGCTCCCAGTACGTTTCCGAGCACAATTCAAAGTGTTGGTGCTGACCTTTAAAGCCCTAAACGGCCTCGGTCCAGTATACCTGAAGGAGCGTCTCCACCCCCATCGTTCTGCCCGGACGCTGAGGTCCAGCGCCGAGGGCCTTCTGGTGGTTCCCTCATTGCGAGAAGCAAAGCTACAGGGAACCAGGCAGAGGGCCTTCTCGGTAGTGGCGCCCGCCCTGTGGAACGCCCTCCCATCAGATGTCAAAGCGATAAATAACTACCTGACATTCAGAAGACATCTTAAGGCAGCCCTGTTCAGGGAAGGTTTTAATGTATGATATTTTAGTGTATTTTTGGTTTCTATGGAAGCCGCCCAGAGTGGCTGGGGAAACCCAGCCAGATGGGCGGGGTACAAATAATAAATTATTATTATTATTATTATTATTATTAGAACATTAGAAGAGCCTGTGGCTCATATGGTTCATATAGTCCAGCATCCTGTTCCTACAGTGGCCAACCCAATGGCTGTGGGAAAACCACAAGCAGGATTTGAGCACAAGAGCCATCTTCCTTTCCATGATCTCCAGAAACTGGTATTTGAGAAGGGAGCTGAACGACGGGCTGTGCCATTGTTGCACATTTGCAAATGAGATTGGATTCAGCAAACCCTGTGTCCCTTTCTGCTTGTACTGTGTCACGAACATCTTGGGGAATCTTTAATCGCCTTAATGAAGGCCATAAATAGGATGAGTGGCTGATATGGCAGATCATAAAGCCTGCACCGAGGGAGCTCTGTTCAAATTCAGATGAGTCTGAGATAATTAAGAAAGCTCAAACTGGGAAAGATAAGTGTCGAGACCTGATCTGAGGGCTTAAGTAACCATTCAACAAGGAGGTAAATTGATATTCTAGGATGGGCTGATATCAAGCAGGTCTAAGCTCTACATTAGTATCTGCTTCCATGTTAGTCCTTAAGTTAATCAGGATCACTTTTAGCCAGAAGTATCAAAAGGGGAGTCCTATCCAGTGCCATCTAACATTTGTTCCATGCTTGTAAGTATGAGATGAGGAGAGAAATTGGATTCAATTTACCAGTGCTTTTTTCTGGGGGGACGCAGGGGTACACATAGCCCTAAACATTTTGTGAATCTAAGTTTGGCCTCATTGAGGGGCAGGATTTCAATATGAGTAGGAAAATGAGAGTACCCCTAAACATTTTTTTAAAGAAAAAAAGCACTGCAATTTGCATTTAATATCAAATCTGTCAAATTTGTGTTTTCCGAAACCATTCTTAAAAATTTGCAGTTCTTCAACTTTAGCAATGCAGTTTTCTAACCAATGTTAACAGAAGTGGAAAATGTGTGTAAAAATGAACATATTAGTGAAAATAACATACAAAAGTGCAATACAGTGGTACCTCGGGTTACATACGCTTCAGGTTACAGACTCCGCTAATCCAGAAATAATACCTCGGGTTAAGAACTTTGCTTCAGGCTGAGAACAGAAATCGTCCTCTGGCGGTGCGGCGGCAGCGGTAGGCCCCATTACCTAAAGTGGTGCTTCAGGTTAAGAACAGTTTCAGGTTAAGTACGGACCTCTGGAATGAATTAAGTACCATATTTTTTGCACCATAACACTCACTTTTTTCCTCCTAGAAAGTAAGGGGAAATGTCTGTGCGTGTTATGGAGGGAATGCCTACGGGTGGCATGCCTACGGATTTTCCTCCTCAAAAAACTATGTGCATGTTATGGTCGGGTGCGTGTTATAGAGCGAAAAATACGGTACTTAACCCAAGGTACCACTGTATATTGTGATAAAGTGCTTACAAAAATGTGTTTATTAGGAGAAAAATACACGAAGCAGCTGAAGAACTTTCATGAAGATTTTAAATATATACACACACAAACTGCTGCAAACTGCTGCAGGAATGTGGGAATTTAAGACAGGAAAGAAAGAGAACATGAGGGAACCAACATTGACAGATCCTTACATCCCTGCTTGCAAGGAATCAGTCCTTCATTGAGCAGCACCTACTCTCTGGAACTCCCTGCTCATTGATATTAGCCAGACATCTTCACTGTATTGTTTTTTGTGCCTCCTAAAAGCATTTGTGTTCAGATAAGCCTTCCCAGACATGTACTTTTCTTTTATTATGTATATTTTTAAAACAGCTGATTTTACTTAAATTGTGGTAAATCTTAGGTTAGCTTGTTTTTAATGTTTGGTTTTGTCAGTATTTCTTTAAAGAATGTTTTACATTCTGTGCAGATTGTTGTAGAGGTTTTTGATGATTACATCCAGTTAATTAAAATAATTAAAAATCCAGTCAACATTAATGCTGCTGCTGCCACGCTAGCTTAAGAGCCCAGTAAAAGGCTGGAGCTGTGTGGAATAATTATCAGTTTAAATTTTCCAAACAAAAGCGAGCAAATTCTTTTAGTGGGGGAAAATGTGTGTGAATATTCTCGTTTTGGTGATCCTGTTCAGCATTATAGCTTTCTCATTATTTCCTCATCCTTCTTCTTTCTGGGTTCATCACCTATGTGATCGCTGTCAATCAGGGATCCTGTACTGAATGGTGTGGTGTCACAAAGATACCTAGTCAATCACCATGGGTTCTGTGATGACGTGGCTGAGAATAAATGAAGGCAATGTAAATGAAGAAATGAATATTTACACAAGTGGTTTTGCAGGGCTAGGAGAGAAATTGCTGGGAAAGGGAAAGGCATTTTTCAGAGCTCTGAAAATCTCAAAAGCTGTCAGTAGCTTTGCTTTGGTTCCGTAAAACATAACTCATGGCTGACTTATCTTGCATTTCCATTACAACAATGGATCAACAAGGCAATGATTCATGCAAGCAATGAAACATTGCAGTATATTAGCAGCCTGCAGCTGGGAGGTTCCAACCCACATCTCTCCCCCATCAATGGACCGTGCAAAAATCTCCCCTTTCCCCTCCCCAATGCCTCTCCTTTCTCTTCATTCAACCTTCTTGCCTGTCTCTGCCCTCTTCTGTACATTACCAGTTTCCACAGTGGATGTTTGAATGAGTACCTTTTCTTTCATCTCACACCTTAAAGAACATATCACTACAGGATGGGGAGAAATTAGTTTGGTCCTCATTTTACAGTGAACCAACCCAATCTGATGCTCCCCAAACTTGCTTGTGGTTTGGACTGCAACTCCCAGCTGAATTGTACATTTCTCTGGATTTTTGTGCTTTCCAATGCACAAAAGGGTGCACACAGAAATATGCATTTTATGTAATTGCAAAAGAAGTGCTCAAGATGCACATTTTCTTGGTGAATGCATTGAAGATTTGCATGCACACAGATCTACTGAGGACTGAGCATGCTGTGTGGCCACAGAACATTGAGTGTTGGGTTGGTGATGGTGGAGGGAGACAGAAAACTGAGGTGGTGAAATGAAGTCTAAAGAAAGCAGCATCTCTGGCTGGTTGGAACATTGAACCTGAGCAATGGTTACTCACCACAATACCTGTGTTCTATACCTGTTGTCAGAGGCCTCATGGCTCAGAATCCCAGGTGTTGGGAATCACAATTGGGGATAGTGCTGTCGCTCTCAGGTCCTTTTGTGGGCTTCCCATACAAATTTGATCAGCCACTGAGAGTACTGGATGCTGGTCCAGAATGGGCCATTTGCCCAATCCAACAGGCTCATACATTTTAATGATTGCATTCTGCATTGCAACATTACCACATCATTGTGATGATGTGGACAGAAAAATAGAACAAACAAGTCATTTCCCCGTCCGTTCTTAAACTTGTAAATAATTCTAGAGGTTTAACTGCCTGGCCTGCAGGCATCAAGTCAGACACCATCCCATTGAGAAGGACTCTGAATGCCTTCTAGGACTTGCTGTTGTGTGAGATTTTCATTGCTTAATTGTGGCCTTAGCAAAAGGAATAATTAGCTACTTCAGAGCAAAGCAACTGCACTTTGCCATCACCACTGCCATAATTTTAAATGGCAAAAGTAAGCTAATGGGAAACCTTTTGCTGAGTGGACAACTACTAGATCAGGGTAGCTCATGGACCATAATTCCTGTTGACCAACCCAATGTGGACCACGTATCAGCAACAGTGCTGCATCTCTTGTGCTGAGGACCTAAAAGCTGCTATGGAAATTCCCAATATTGTTTGTATTCTTTATTTGTTGCTGCCACTACCAAAAATCTTGAGCCTGGACAGGCGGCACTAACAAGTATTGGGTGGGGAGATCAGGTCTGTGGTCCAGAGGTTTTCTACCTCTGTACTTACAGAGAGAGATATATATAAATGTGATTGGCTTATAGTTTGTATATGTATCAGTTAAACATCTTGGAAGCTGGAGCTGCCTGGAGTTATCCAGTTGCACCACTTGTTCTGTCTTGTTTGCACATCACTCGCATTGCTTAAAAAGTAAAAATAAAACACAGCTGCGTCCCATTGGTAAAGTAAAAAAGGTACTTTATTTCCAGTTGCTTCATATGCACAATGGCAGCTTTTGATTCTTCTCTATATGACTGGAGCAACTTTAGTGGCATCCTCACGCAAGAAAGAGGGAGAAGAGAGAGAGAATGAACATGAGGAAGGGGGAAAGCATTGATATTTAGTGGGAAACAACAAAGTGTATTTCCCCTTACTTTTTGTTAAGGTTCTGTTAGGGTTGCTTATACCCAACCTGTGCTAAATGAGAGGATTTTTAAAAGAACAAAAAGAGATTCTGATCATTCATTTTCTAGTACGTAAAGTGAAAAATTGCAAATACAAAGCAAACACCATGTTATGCCTAACAGAAAACACATTATTATTGTTTTGGTGCAATTAATTTTATTTCATGCCTTTTGTACATCTGTATAAATGATGGATGGGTTAAAAATATTTCAATTAAATAAAAATACATAAGGAAATGCATAAAGAAACAAACAGGTTTACAAAAAATCCAGCTTTTAATTAATACAATTCAAGGAAAGGCACGCCAGGTCTGGAGGGTCCATTTTCCTCCCTAGACATATATGAATGGAGTTATGGTTTGGTGATTCCAGACAATTACGCTTTACACTCCCAAGTTTAGAGAATGCATTATGACTCATTAAAGGACCGTTGTCTGGCACCACATTTTTTACTGTCCTTATATTTTTAAAAGGAGAGGTCCATGGTTCTGTTTTATGATTCTCAGAATGCTCTTCTTCCTCCCCTCCAGCATATGCCTCTTCCTTTAAGTAAGCTGTAAATACAACACTTGATCCTTGTCAACTCTGAAATTCTTATAGATTGCTGTGTTTCTGTTAGAAAGGCTGGCAGTGTGATTGCCTAACACCACTAAGAGATTGCTGTTTTTCTGGTCGTTTTCTATGGAGAAAAGCAGAACTGCCCCTAAGTTAAGAAGAAAGTGGGTCACCAACAAGGTCCTCTATAGATGTTGTGGATCACAATCCCCACCATTACTGATGGCTATACTAGCTGGAGTTGTAGTCCAAAACATCTGGAAGGCACTACATTGGGAACCCCTGATCCAAGCTGTACAATAGCCATGGTTTTCAAAATAAGCATAAGAACATAAGAATAGCCCTGCTGGATCAGACCAAAAGTCTATCTAGTCTGGCATTCTGCTTTCCACAGTGATCCACCAGGTGCTTCTGAGAAGCCTACAAACAGGGTATGAGCACAATATCCCTATTCTGTTATTAATCAGCAGCTGGTATTTGGTACCGCTCAAAATGGAGGCTGCACAAAGTCAGCTCGATTTGTAGTCATCCTACATGTATTTATGGAAGATGAAGTCCATGAATTTGTAACTTCATATAGCCGCATAGGCCACGGGTAGCCAACATGGTGCCTTCCAGGTGGTGTGAAACTATAGATCTCATCATCCCTGACCATTATCCAGGTTGGCTGATGGAAAATGGGGTCCAACAACATTGGAGGGGCACTATCTTCTAAAGTAGTGGATCATCCCCACATCTTGTGGCAATAAATTCAATAAATTTATTTTGAGCACCATCGTGGTGCTGATATGATAGAAGGGACGTGAACATGTTCTAGCTCTGGGATACTCATTCCACATTGATCCATCTGCCAGAGAACTCCAGCACAATGTAGATGATTTGGAGGCATACTTTTAGGTGCATAGTCCCTGCAGGCCCATTGGACCTCATCATTGTCCCATGTGAGGGTAGAGTGTAATCTGGAGTACACTCCACAGGGCCAATCTGGTCTCCTCCAGATTTTGTGGACAGCAACTCCCAGAAGCCTCGGCCAGCATGGCCTATGGTCAGGGATACTGACAACGGGTTTTAATTCAACAACATCTGGAGGGACCAGACTGGCTACTCCATCCTTACCGTACCTTCATCTGTAGTTTGCAGCCCTAGGAGATTATATGGCCTAGACCAGGAATGGGGAACCTGTGGTTCTCCAGATGTTGTTGGACTGTAACTTCCATCATCCTTGACTGGCTGGGGCTGATGGTAACTGGAATCTACAACAACATCTGGAGAGCCACAGGCTTCCTCATCTCTTATCTTATACTTTCCTGTGGCTGCACATTGGAGGTAAAGTTCATCAATGGTAGACAAGAGGCCTATCAAAGAGGTTCTTTGCAATCAGTGAGTGCCTCATCAAGGATCCCTGATATGAAAAAAACCATAGTTCCTTGGATCACAGTTTGGAAACCATTTTCATAGATTAGTTCGCAAAGTTGAGTAGCTACCTGCTTTAATATACCCACCAAACCAAGCCCTAGATGTTAACTCTCCTGGTAACGGGGAGACTAGCAAGGACAGTAGATTAACAACTATGGAAATGATGTAAGCACTGAAGCGAAAAGCTAGTACACCTTGTTGGGGAAATGTTAGGTTACTTGCTTGGTTGAAGCCCACAGCTGGTATCTTGCAGAAGGGTCTTTAGAAACCCAGAGCCAGCTCTATTTCCTTTTGTAGTAATTAATGGACTTTGCTTGTTTGATGTTTCTGAAGGTTTCAGACAACTGCGATGCCATCTTTGTTAATGGGAAGGAAATGAAAAGCAAAGTGGACACCATTGTGAATTTCACGTACCAGCATTTTACCACCCAGCTAGAAGTCACCGTCTGGGTTCCACGACTTCCTCTTCAAATAGAGATCTCCGACACAGAACTGAGTCAGATCAAAGGCTGGAGGATCCCTGTCACCTCCAACAAAAGGTACCAGCATCATGCCTTAAAAATGGCTCTTGAGAGCAACACAGACAAGCCATGTAGTTCAGCATCCCCATTCAAGTAAATGGGGATTGCATGCTAGGATAGGAATGGCTGACCACTGGTAAGCTCGACAAATGTGACCCTCTAGGCATCTCTGTCTGGCACTCAAGACTCTCCCTAGGTAGGGATGGATGGTTTCATTATAGTCTGTTTCATCCCACTTCTACATGGGGATGAACTAATCTGTCCCATTCTGTTTCCATGCAGATTTTAAAGGAAAAACCCCTGCCTCATGCTTGTTTAGCACTACAACTGTATGTACTGATAAAATAACAAGGCAATATTGATGCCATTGAACCTACAATTACAGTGCAATGCTTTTTGGGTGGTGTTTTACTGTTGTGCATGTGTACTCTGCAGTGGCAAAACACCACACAAATAATGCAACCAAACATGCAGTCTCATCCAACTTGGTTGATTGCAGAGAGGGCTTTTTAAACATAAAAAATAAAATAAAAATAAAATGAGTTCACACAAATGGGACATGCAGATTGGTAATGACAGGGCGTGTGAAACTCACAAATGATCTGAAGGAACTGGAAAAGGCAGTGAACAGTCAGTACACAGGTCCCTTTCCAACATAAGAGGTAACAAGGGAGGATGTTTAAAGCATTAGTTCCATTTTTGAATCTTAGATGAAAAATGTGAGGAGTTTCAGAAGCACCCCTAAAATGTGTGTTGAGATTAAAACAGGCAAGGAGCATCTTTGTCCATCTGGCCCACTATTGTCTTCTGCAGGGATGAGGAGCCCACAGTCCATTCCAGCCACATCTTTAGGGTTACCGGTTCCCCATCCTTGTCTATTCCAATTGCAATAATTCTTCAGTATCACAGGAATGAGTCTTCCCCGTCACCAGCTGCTGATCCTTTTCCTTTAACTGGTGATCCTGAGGCTTGAACCTGCATGCGAAGCATGTGCTCTGCTACCAAGCCACGATTTCTCCTCCATGAGATGCTGGCCAAAAGAGTGAACCAACAGAACATGTGCCAAACGCGACAGGAACTTGAGAGTATTTTTAACGGTTATCATTGGCATTGGCAAAGAAAGAAAGAACAAGCCCATTCTTCTGCTGAGTTAAGTGCCTCATCCGGTTGCCTCCCCGTTCACCATATTGTTGGGAGTTTGCTTGTGCAAATGTCTGCTGAATCGTTCATGGCGATAGATCCATTTGAGGAATAAACCTGCCATCGCAGACGCGGCAGGTCACGCCTCCAGCAGCCATTAGCCCAGTGCGAACATTCTGCCTGTCAGCTCATTATGCCGCGTGCTAAAAATTTAACCCCCCAGGTGTCTAGTTCATATTTATTGGGCCAGCTGAAGTGAATTGAACGGCCCAAGTAGCTTCGCTGTTTGCAAGCTGGCAAGCCGTTCTCGCCAGCAGCTATTCAGATTACCGCAGAGCCACTGGGCACCTATTTAGCAATTCATTTCTTCTTCTTTTTTTAGGAAGGGGGTGGAATGGCAAAGCTGTTTGCTGTGAAAATTTGCAGCCGGTTGCCTGCACCATGGCCTGCCAGCCATTGTTCTTGGATGAGTGCGTGCAACAGCTCATGCTTCCAATAGAGCTGGCGAAAGTTTTTTTAAGCAACTTAATCGCATGGGTGACTTGAATGGGGGCGACCATTTCTTCTTGTGGCAGGAATGCAGTGGAGGCCGGTTTATTAGGGCAAATGGGGCACATCCTCACCAACCTCTGTCTGCCCTGCCTGCCTTCTTACTTGCAATCAATCCAGGCGGTGGCGCTGCCTATAGGCTCTCTCCTCCACAGTCTCTGGGTCCTTAGAAGCACTGAGCTGTAGAGATGGAAGGGGCCAAAAGGACAATCTAGTCCACCCCCTGTAGGAATCACAGGTAGAAAATCAGGGACAGATGACCATTCATCCTCTGTTTAAATCCTGAACTGAATTCAGCTGATTCATGTGGATCCAGGCTTGAGCTGTTTGGAGACAGTCCCAAGTCATCCCAGGTTGGGCAGGGCCACTGAGAGATCCAGGGCTTTCAGGGGGTGGTGAGTCAGGTGGGAAGGCTCTAGGGGTCTGCTTTGCAAGTGTGCTCACCACAGAGAATGCAATGGGGAACCAGACCTCAGCAGAACTGAATCCTCCTCCTGCTGAGGGGAGGATTCAGTCCTGAGGGGTGCAGGGTGCTCCTTTTCAAGGAAGGGCACATCAGGGCCGATATTGCAAGGGGTCTCTTGGAGACCATTCTGAGGACTAAATAGGGAGGTTTATGGGACATCATTTGACCCTTGGTCCTGAGGTTCCCTACCTGTGATGTAGAAGGCCTCAGATTCAGTCTCTGGCACCTCCAGGGGGAAAACCCCCTGCTTAAGACTTTGGGAAACTGCAGTCAGTGTACACCAGCCCCCTCCAACCGGCTGCCCTCTAGATATTTTATGCTACAATTCCCATCAGCGAAGTGTACCATGTTCTTTTAGACAACACTGAGCTAGATGGATGAACAGTATGATAGGGCAGATTCCTGTGTTCATTGGAATGGGCCTCCAACCAGGTTCTCTCTCAGGAAGCAGCACTGAGATTCTTGGGCACTGTGCCATTGATAGCACCCCTTGATTGGTCTGCCCGCTGCTTCATTGAATGGGAAATTAATAAAAATGTAATAAGGAAGTGAGGATCTGGATCCCTTGTGAATATATCTGGGGAGATAATAAAAACCCATCTGGAGAAATATGGCTCATCATACTGATCCATAGATAGATGGGCAGCAGGAAGGGGGAGAGAGACTTTTATCCTTATTTGCAGTAGATGGGAGAATCATAATTTAATCTGGGTATGTGCCACTATCAATATGAGCGGCCCACTCTTCCAGATGGAAATCTGCTCTCCAGATAGGTGTGCTCTCATGACTAATGTACTGCATGGAACCCTTGAGCGGCACTCGGTTAATAGAAAAACCGGCTTCTGAAATGAGCAGTCGAAAAGCCCACAATCGCAGCAAATGAAAGGAATAAATATAAATTAAAGTCAAATAAGAGTGGGGAGAAGGGGAGGAAAGTCCAGGCAGGCAGAGACCGATGTTCTTAACAAGAACATTTATTTTGATTCATTATGCAGCTGGAAAATAATTATCCCCTTGTTGAAGTTCATGCATTACCTCTGCGGGTGGAGTGTTGGGTGGGAGGAAGTGATTTTTGTTCATTTCTTCTAAGGGCCGCTTAGTGAGTCTTTTGACATATGTTGAAATGATGCCCTTTGGATCTCTTATATGTAACAGGGCTAAAGAATGCCTGTACGCCTTTCTCTTGTCACCTGCAAGCCCTCCTAACCATCAACCGAACTGCTGAAACATAATGGAATGCCTGCAAACATTCTGCAGCCACTCAAAGACTGAGAATGAGTCATTGGATGTTGAAAATGAGGGTGGGGCAATTGGTGGTGGAAGGGCTCCAAAAATGAGGGATAACATGGGCTGAGAAGAATTTCTAACCATGTCCTCTCCTGACCATGAGGACCATGCTCTGTGGAGCAAAATAAATCCCAGAGGGTGGCTAAGTCATGCAGAAGGCAGGCACGGGCTGGAGCTGCAGGACCTTAGGTAGCTCTAAGAAAACAACTTTCTCCAACAAGATGTGGAACTCAGTGGAGGGGTTTGATCTCTTGTGCTGCCTACTTCCCACCCAATGGATGGTGAATTTTAAGATGGTTGTCCTCTGGCCTGGAGCCTAGCACCCTTGTCACTTATTAATCAGTTCCCGCATTGTACTCTCCCCCCCCCCAGGGGCCTAAAAGGTGCTGCTTTTGACCTTTAAAGCCCTTCATGGCCTAGGACCCTCGTACCTACGGGACCACCTCTCCTGGTATGCCCCACGGAGAGCCTCAAGGTCCATAAATAGCAACACCCTAGAGGTCCCGGGCCCTAAGGAAGTTAGATTAGCTTCAACCAGAGCCAGGGCCTTTTCAACACTGGCTCGGGTCCGGTGGAACGCTCTGCCTCATGACACCAGGACCCTGCAGACAGAGTTGTTCTGCCTGGCCTTTGCCTTGGAGCCAATTTGATTCCCTCCCTCCCTCTCTTTTTTCTTTTCCTTCTCCTCCTGCGAGGAGGCTACATTTTAATATTTTAATGTTTCAATATTTTAATGTTGTGTTTTAATTTTGTTTTTAAGTTGTAATCATTCAACTTGTTTTTATTATTGCTTGTAAGCCGCTCTGAGCCTGGCCTTGGCTGGGGAGGGCGGGGTATAAATTATTATTATTATTATTATTATTATTATTATTTTAAAAAATACCCTAGTCCCAGGCTTAGAGACACAGAAAGGTTTACTCACATAGGCAGAGCCTTTGTAAATACATTGGCTGAGTCCAAGTGGGGCAAATTCTACACAATTTCAGTAATTTGCTGTGTGAGGAAGGGGTGGAAAACCTCTTTCAGCATCAGGACCTAACTCCTTTCTGGGAAACCTTATGGGGACCACACATCATTGGTGGGCCAGGTGAGAGGAAAAAAAGTGGGCAGGCCCTCAGAGAAAAATGAGCAAAGCTAGTAATGTGACTCTTACTGTGTACAGTAGAGAAGAACACTTGAGGAGAAGGAAGAGCAGGTCCAGTGAAGAGTAAGGACTAGAGGGGGGGCGTGGCCTGAGAAAGTGCCAAACCCCCAATAGATAGGTATAGGGGTCCCACATTATGTTCACAAGCCTGGTGTGAGGCTATGTACCCATAGATCCAGAGCCAGCTCAAGACATTTTGGCACCTGAGGTGGCACCTGAGGTCAACCACAAAATGATACCTGCCAGTCAGGGAGAAAGGGGCAAGTGGAGATGTACATCAGGTGCAAAGTGAGAATAAAGAATAAACAAGGATGAGAGGAGACTAACTCCGGTGAATCCTGTGAGGTCTATGTGTTGGAGGGGCCAAATGATGCCCAATGCTGATAATATAGGCATTTCATAAATTTTGTTTATTTATTTTATTCAGTTGCTGAGATATCTAATAAGAACTATTCTCTAGACAAAGTGCACAGTACAACAAAGTGATTTAAATAAACGGTGCAGCAACTCGGTGGAACCTTAATGAATCAGTAAAACCAGCAGAAGATGAAATCCTGCACAGATAAAACCCAACACAGACAAATTAAAGCCTCAGATGGAAAAATCAGGGTTGTATCTATCGTAAGTTATACCCAGAGAAAGCGCACTGAAGTTAGTGAACCTACATTAGGCACTCCCGTTCATTTCAATGGGTCTACCCTGGATACAGCCTTTAGAATTTGCAATATTCAAAATGAACAGAGTACAGTTGTATTGCAAGAACAACCGCAACCTAGTACCTTCTTGTGTGTGTTTCTGTGTGTGTGTCCTATAGGCCCACACGCGACAGTGATGAGGATGAAGATGACGAGAAGAAAGGGCGAGGCTGCACCCTGCAGTACCAGCATGCCATGGTACGAGTCCTCACCCAGTTTGTGACAGAATCATCCGATTTGGGAGGCCAGCTGACCTACATGCTTGGCTCCGAGTGGCAGTTTGACATTACGGACCTTGTGGCTGACTTCATGAAGGTGGAGGAATCCAAAGTAGCCAAGTTACAAGATGGCCGGGTTCTGATTGGTCGTGAGCAAGGAATCACAACAGTTCAGGTACAAAGTAAGGCTGGGTGTCAAAGGAAACATTAATGTGGGCTGCACAAGGTTACTGGTAGGTGGATTTGTAGCTTGTTGACAGACTGAACCCAAAGAGTACTCACTAATGGATCCTAATCATCCTGGAGGAAAAAAAGTGACAAGAGGGTTGCCACAGGGTTCTGTCCTGGGCCCATTGTTGTTCAATGTCTTTATAGATGACTTGGATGAAGGAATTGAGGGGATGCTCAACCAATTTGCAGATGACACCAAACTGGGAGGGATAGATAATGCCGCAGAAGACAGAAATAGGGTTCAAGATGACCTTAAGTGATTGGAGAACTGGGTCCAAACTAACAAAATGAACCTCAATAGGGACAAATGTCAAATTCTACACTTAGGCAGGGTTTTAGTAGACCACAAGCTTAATTTGAGTCAACAGTGTGATGTGGTAGCAAAAGCAGCTAATGCTATTATAGGCTGCATCAACAGAAGTATAGTGTCCAGATCAAGGGACGCAATAGTACTGCCCTATTCTGCCTTGGTCAAACCATACTGTGTCCACTTCTGAATGCCAAATTTTAAGAAAGATGTTGATAGGCTGGAACATGTGCAGAGGAGGGCAACCAAGATGGTCAAGGGTCTGGAAACCAAGCCTTATGAGGAAAGGCTGAAGGAGTTGCATACATTCATTTTGGGTAAGAGAAGAATGAGATGAGATATGATAGTCTCTTGAAATATCTAAAGAGCCATCACATGGAAGATGGAAGAAGCTTGTTTTTTCCTGCTCCAGAGGCTGTGACCTGAACCAATGGTTTCAAGTTACAAGGAAGGATTCCAGCTAAACATCTGGAATAACTTTCTGACAGTAGGAACTGTTTGACACTGTAACGGACTTCCTCGGGAGGTGGTGGACTCTCCTTTGTTGGAAGTTTTAAGCAGAGGTTTGGTGACCATCTATCATGAGTGCTTTACTTGAAATTCCTGCATTGCAGGGGGTTGGACCAAATGACCCTCAGGGTCCCTTCCAACCCATAAAATTCTATGATTAATCAGAAAGCTGCTTTATCTTGAGGAGACACCAAAGCAGAGGATCAGTCTAGGCATAACACTACTTAATATTGAGCAGAGACCAAATTGGTCTAGCAAAAGCCATGGTCATAGTTGGCTGCCTACTGTTGGAAAGTGGAAGATAGGTGAGGTGGGATCTTTATTCTATTTCAGCAAGTTAATTCTCATGTCCTATGATAGAGTGGTGTTTTCATGCACCAGTCCCCACAACGCGAGCCTCAGTCTCACATATTGGCAGAGAGTAGAAGTTGTTGGACTTTATAAAGAGGCAGCCCCCCATATCATCACTAACCTTGGGCCATGCTGTCTGGGGCTGATGGGAGTTGAACATTCAGAAGGCACCACAATGGCGGGAGGAGCTCCTCCCACCCTTGTGCATCAGGTGACCAACCTCCAAGGGGGAGCGTTACATTCTATGCCACATTTTAGCATGGGCCTATTTTTAACATTCTTAAAATGTGCATATGCTTGTTCTAAACCAGGCATCCCCAACCTTCGGCCCTCCAGATGTTTTGGACTACAGTTCCCATCATCCCTGACCACTGGTCCTGTTAGCTGGGGATCATGGGAGTTGTAGGCCAAAACATATGGAAGGCCACAGGTTGGGGATGCCTGTCCTAAACCATTTATTTTCAAATGTATGAAGCTATACAGTGAATTTACAGTTTTACAGTGCTTTACATTGCTTTACAGTGAATCAAGTGAGCAGTGGGTTCTGTTAGTATGAGTTCCCCAACTTCTTTTCCAACTCCAATTGCCTTTCAAATGGGGGGTGCTGGAGACTGAGTCTTGGCACTTGGTGCATGTGTAGCTGTGCTCTAATAGTATTAAGAGTTAAACACATATTTGATGTACCCTTCCCTGAGATCACTTGCTCAGAGAAGGGTAGGTTTAAAATGAAATAAATAACTAACTATGCCCCCTGCAACCCCTTGGCTGCTTTCACAGGAATCCACTGTATTTGGCTAGCAGAGCAATCCTATGCATGTCTATGTCTTTTTATATTGCAAACTGCCCTGTGATCCTCAGTTGAAGGGCAGTATAGAAATTTTAAAAATACTTCTACTAATAAAAATACTCAAACGTAACCCCTATTAAATTCAATGGGGCTTATTCCCAGTTATGTGTGGCTAGAATTGGAACCCAAGCAGGCAAAAGTGGCTCAGAGGGATCTTCATTTTGAAATACAGTTGTACCTGGTTTTGCGACCAGGATCCATTCCGGAGCCCCAGACGCTAGACGAAAAGGACGCACGACAAAGCACCGCTCTGCGCACACACTCGGAGCAGTCTGCCAGTACTTCCAGGTTTGTTGCAGACGTTCGACGAAATGAACACTCAATGAGGCAGACTCAAAATGAGGTACCACTGTATGGCAACCAGTCCTTGGGCACCCATGATGCAACAACTCCAGGACAGTTTAATGTGGATTGTCATCATCTTTCCTTTCCTTTTGTTTCCCTTAAAGGTCCTCTCACCTCTTTCTGATTCCATTTTGGCTGAGAAGACTGTGATTGTTTTGGAAGACCGGGTGACCATCACAGACCTTGGTGTTCAGCTCGTGGCAGGCTTGTCCCTCTCGCTCCAGACAAGCAAAGGAAACAAGAGGGTGATTGTTTCTACGACATCGGCTTCTGACATTCTTCATTCACCAAAGCAGGTGGGAGATGCAGTAATGACAAAATTAATGAAAAGCACAGATTTGCATCGTTTCATCAGCAAATAGGAGACCTAGATAAACCAGATGAGATTAAATGGAGGGTAACCTAAAGGACGAACTAAGGACTAGATGAGGTATCTTCAACCTTTTCAGACCCAGGACCCACTTTTAACCTAAACATGCATTTGGGGACCCATTTCTTAATCCTTTGCTATATTGTTGCATGGTGTCAGATGGCAATGGTGGTTGCTCGTGAGTGACCAGTCAGGACTCCCACCTGTCTTTTACAGGTTTTATTTTGGTGCAATACTATTTACAGTACAGAGCAACAAGTTCATGTCTGCCTCAATCGCTAGCAGAATCCGGGAGTGGCTGTTTCCGGGACCTCCCCCAACATAAGAGCTTCGTCACCCCCAGCCTTTTCCTTCCTTCTTTGCGTTTTACACCTCTGCGCAGGGTGGGCGACGGAAGGAAGGGGTGTGCTTCCCTCCTGGCCAGCTTGGCCAGGAGCAGTGCTGAGGCTCCCAGCAGCATCTTCTGGTTTTTCCCCCTCTTCCCCACTGGAGGTGTGGCTTTCCTCACCGCAGGAAGAGGAACTGCTTCACAAGATTTTCGGAGGTTCCATGTAACCCAACTGCCCCTCTGCTTCCCTACCCTTCCACTAACACCCTGACACATGGTGTTAGTGCTCTTGTGGTTACCCACCTTGGATCAGACTGTCAGACCCTCCAAGGCTCCCTATTTTTCCAGAACATCCATGATTTAAAGAAGCAGTCCCAGTTTCTGATTTGATCCCTGAATGTCCCACTTTTCCTTTGGATGTCCCTATTTTCACTGGTGAAATGTTGGAGGGTATGAAGTTATCTGACCCTCGAGGTGTCTGAAGGCAATCCTGTATAGGGAAGGTTTTTTTAAAAAAATGTTTCATGTTTTATTGAGTTTTTAGATACAGTGGTACCTCGGGTTACATACGCTTCAGGTTACATACGCTTCAGGTTACAGATTCCGCTAACCCAGAAATAGTGCTTCAGGTTAAGAACTTTGCTTCAGGATGAGAACAGAAATCGTGTTCCAGTGGCGCGGTGGCAGCAGGAGGCCCCATTAGCTAAAGTGGTGCTTCAGGTTAAGAACAGTTTCAGGTTAAGAATGGACCTCTGGAACGAATTAAGTACTTAACCCAATGTATCACTGTATGTTGGAAGCTACCCAGAGTGGCTGGGGCAACCCAGTAAGATGTTGTTGTGAATTCTCTGCGGCACTTTATCAGAAATGCTCAGAGTTCCAGGTTCTTCAGTGCAGTATATTTATTGTGAGCTATATATACAAATATCTACAGGCTATAATACATGAGCAGTTCATACAGTCAAACAGAGTACCTGGCTGCACCTTAAGGCAAACAGGAAGACCTTTCTATCTCTCTCTCTCTGACTACACTCTTCTGCACCACACTTTTACTGCTGGACAGGTTTCCCTTTTAAACCGATGACAGCCAATCAACTTTCAGTACATTACTGCTGAGTCATTCTGACCCAGCACTTCCATAGAAAGTATTGCAGGCTGATTGCATCTGCCAGTTGCATCAGCTAGCAAACTCGAGCCTGCAGACTTACTATCTACACAGCATTCTGTGAATCCCAACAGATGTGTGGGGTATGAATAGTAACATTATCATTATGGAATGGGACATCCCTATTTTCATCAGAGACGTGTTGGAGGGTATGGGCTGTGGCCCACTAATGAGTCTCAACTCACTGGCTGAAGGCCAGTGGACTAGATGGGCCTATGGCCTGATCCAGCAGGCCTCTTCGTATGCTTTTGTAACCATGATAGATGATGTGATCCAATGGGTAGTAGGAGAAATTAAACTAAGCTGGAGAGGAATAGGGTAGTTGTGTTGTGAGAGTGCTGTTGCACTGACATCCTCCTTTGATATTGCCTCCTACCCACTTTCTGTTCTGGCCCTGGCCACCCTTCTATGTGGCCCCCAACAGATTTCCCCCAGGGAATATGATCCTTGAGGATGGTAAAGGTTCCCCACCCCTGTACTAAGTTATGGGCCCTCTCTCTCTAAAGATCATAAAGGTGAAATACATAAATGTGAATATGAAAAATGGGTGAGTGAAATGATTGGATCATGTTTACTGACACATTAAGCCAAAAGAACAAGGGTTGAGGGAGGGAAATGTTACTCATTTTCATGTAATTATTTCCAGGCTTCACAAAAACAGGGTGGGGGGGAGGAGCCCAACTCATGCGATTTCACTAAATCAGCCGCATGAGTTTAGGAAACAATATTTTGATGGCTAATTTAAGGCCCAGAGTTCAGATTGATTTCATGATGCAGTCTGAAAACAAATGATCTGACCGGTTATATGTGAAATTGATTCTGAGGCATTCTGCTAGGAAGAGAATGTTAAAACTAAGCTTTCATTTTTTAAAAAGTTCACTCATTTCAGATGCATCATTTCCCATCTTGAATTTTGAAAGCTCATAGCGCTGACGCATTCAGCTAAGTTATACCCAGAGTACACCTACTGGTTGGTTTCCAATGCTAGTCCTATTCAGAACAGACCCGCTGAAATGAACGACTAACTTAGGTTCATTAATTTCGCTTCTTAAAAAAGTTATGGCTTCTTTTTAAAAATGATACATTTTTCTATGTTGTAGGAAGCTGTGGTCAGTGCTTGGATTTTGTTCAGCGATGGCACCGTGACACCCTTAGACATCTACGACACGAAAGATTTTTCTCTCGCCATCACATCCCTGGATGAAATGGTGGTGTCCATCCATCAAAGCCAAGAGGAAGACCAGCCTGTGGTGGTGGCGGAAGGTGAAGGTCAAGGGCCGCTCATTAAACTAGAAATGGTGATCAGCGAGCCTTGTCAGAAGTCCAAGAGGAAGAGTAGCTTGGCTGTTGGGAAAGGAAGCATCAAAGTCAAGTTTGGCCAGAAGGATTTGGACCACAAAGGGGACACCAATGACATTGAAGACGTTGAGGCTGATTTTAAAAGCCATGGGAGTAATTCTATAGAGAAGTCACTGGAGCAGGAGAGGTCAGGGCAAGATTGGCCCAAACATGGGGCTTCCATTAATCATGAAGAGGCTACTAACCAAAGCACAACTTCCAAGACTCCTGTTCACCCAAAAACTGCTCAGGGTCAGCTCCAAAATGGTCCAACCTCCTTTACGAGCTTCCCCATACAAGTTGACATTCCAGTGCAGAACAGTCCCAGTGACCTCACTTTGGCTTCCAGAGGTCTAACGGACCTTGAGATTGGCATGTATGCCCTTCTGTGTGTTTTCTGTTTAGCCATATTGGTCTTCTTAATTAACTGTGTGGCATTTGCTTGGAAGTACAGGCACAAAAGGTTTGCCGTCAGTGAGCAAGGCAACATTCCACATTCCCATGACTGGGTGTGGCTCGGGAATGAGGTGGAGCTCTTGGAGAACCCAGTGGACATTTCGCTCCCGTCCGAGGAGTGCACAACCATGATAGACAGAGGGATGCAGTTTGAGGAGAGCAATTTCCTCCTCAACGGGAGCTCTCAGAAGAGCCTTCATAGCCAGATCCTTCGGTCTGCTGACTATGGTTGTGAGAACGATATCACAAACGAACCTATCAACCCCCCTGGGCCCAAACGGAAAAGAGTCAAATTCACATCCTATACCACCATCTTGCCAGAGGATGGTGGCCCATACACCAACTCCATCCTCTTTGACAGTGACGATAATATCAAATGGGTATGCCAAGATATGAACTTAGGGGATTCCCAGGAACTTAGAGACTATATGGAAAGGCTGCAAGACAATATGTAAAAAATAATTATTATCTCTCTCTCTAAAAACTTTATCTTTGTATTCACCTTTATGCCTTCTGTTTTATGGATGATGGAGCACTCAAACCCAGCCAGCAATAGAAGAAGGCTCTCCAAAATGTTTGGAGGTCCAGAAATACTAACTTTGCAGTGTTTTGATCAGCTGCAGGAAAAAGCTGGCTTGTTATACCCTGTTCCATCAGGTACAAGGGGATGTGAGCCCCTAAAGAGCCACCTACAAATCTTGGAGGTATTGGGCACAACCAGCTGTTTTTCATATATCATCTGACACTAGCTAATGCTGATCCAATTGCACCTAGACTCAGAGAAGATGGGTTAGTGTGCCATGTTACGATGAGCCGTTACTATGGAAAAGGAACCATTTTGTGGGTGGGTGGGTTGATGATTTTTCTAGAAAATATTCTTTGTAAAAGCACAGTAGACATTCCTCGCTTTCAGCTGGAATCTAGGGTCCTTTCAAAGGATCAGAATGAATTGACCTAATGTAATCTGTTTATACAAAATACAGACAGATATATCCTCCTAGGCTTTTGTTTTTTAAAAAACAAATATTCATCCTTGTGGTTAATTTGTTCAGCTGTATTGTTTATAAAGCTTTCCTGATTTTATGAACTATTTACATATTTTCATTTGACAGGATTCTCTCCCCAACCCATAGATGTACCAAAGTGTACTGCATTGTTAGGGCTGCAAAGTTTAGTCGATAAATCGAATAAAAACCTTGTAAAAGATGACAGTGAAAAAGTGCCCCCAATAAACTGGGCAGCAGATTATTATTATTATTATTATTATTCTGGAGAAAAAACGTAACATTTTTAAATACAAGTACTTAGAGAAAACATTGCTGATGGGTGCCAATTTTGAAAGGGCAACCCCCTTTTCTCACCCATGGAGCGCATCTCCTAAGTTATGACATGCACAAGTGCCATCTGAAATCAACAACAATGACGATAATACAGCTACTCAACTGCAAATTTATACAGGACTAATTGATTATTCGCTTATTAATTCATTAAAACTCAAACGATTAATCGACTAAAACTTCTTTCGGTTGGGTGACAGCCTCACTTTCTGTGTTAAAAGGGTTGTTCTGTAGCTGCTTGATATTGTTCCCTAATCCTCCCTCCCTCTTTCTTTCTTTCTTTCTTTCTTTCTTTCTTTCTTTCTTTCTTTCTTTCTTTCTTTCTTTCTTCCATCTCTTTCACTGGAAAATAGAGATCTGTCTTCTTACAGGGAAAATGTACATACAATAATAAAAACCCTGGGGTGGGGGAAAAGAGCTATTCTGGTTTTTGTTTTCATTTTGGAAGGTTTGCAATATCATCATTTCAAAATCCCCAGGTGTCCTTTGAAGGTACACGTTGCACCCACCTTCCTGAAGTTAAGCAGGTCTAGGCTGGATCTGGGTCTGGATGGGAGACCTGGGAAATTATAGAGGATAAAAGTTTCAGTGGCTAATAGTCATGATGGCCAGGGATTTTTTTAGCCAGAGCTCACAGGAGCTCATCTCTGGCACCTCTCAGGTGGGCACCATTGCCATTCTAAGAGAAGTAGGGAGAAGTTCATGGTGAGATCCAGCACCTCTTTTTCTAGAAAAATAACACTGATGATGGCTATGCTCTACCTCCACTGTTAGAGACTAAAATGTTTTTGAATCCCAGTTGCTGGAAACAACAACAGGGGAGAGGGAACCACCTTCAGTGGTTTTTCCTTGATAGGAAATGTGTCCTTAAATATTGATTATGCCTCTTGCTTGCCTGGGTTTAGCATAGAGTAAGGACGCGGGTGGCACTGTGGTCTAAACCACAGAGCCTAGGGCTTGCTGATCAGAAGGTCGGCGGTTCGAATCCCCGCAACCAGGTGAGCTCCCGTTGCTCGGTCCCTGCTCCTACCAACCTAGCAACTCTTGCATCCAGTCCTACTTGTCACTGTTTTGTGGCTCTTGAAAGGTTGCCCAAGGAAAGTAACCCTGAGGCTTTAAATTTTCCCCCAGCCCTCGTGTAGACCATATTGAACTAGATGGACCAACAGTGGTCTGATTTTGTGTACGTCAGCTTCCTAAACTGGTTTGGGTGCATCAGAATTGGATTTAGTTCAACTAAAGCAAGGAATTGAATGTCCGAACAATTTCCCACTCTCTCCTGGTCCCTTTCTGAAGGACTCGTTCATGGATTTTCAAGACAGGTGGGGAATCATTTGGTGTGATTTCAGAATGCTTTGTAAGCAATTAAAAATCCATATTTTAGCCCCCCTCCCATTTTAAGTGTGAAGCTTTGAAATTGTCAAGATCAAAAGACATCTAATGCCCTTCAATTAAAATTGTGTTTTGCTCTCCTTTCTGAGGAACAAACTTATGAGGTTGGGGTTTTTTTGGAATGGCTAATTACGTATGCTGCAATCCTATACACAGTTATCTGGGAGGGGAAATTGGGGGCTGGGATGTGACTGAGTCTGCATTAAAGACGAATCCACATTTTTCAAAACAACAGACAAACAAAAACACAGCCATCCCTTGAAATGTGCACATTCTAAATTTTGCAACGCAGTACTCCAGCCAAGTGATATGTTCAGAAATTCATATGCTAAGGCAAAGAGTGTATAAAATGCATATATTTGTGAAAATGACATACAAAAATGTATTCATAGAATCATAGAATCATAGAATCATAGAATCATAGAGTTGGAAGAGACCACAAGGGCCATCGAGTCCAACCCCCTGCCAAGCAGGAAACACCATCAGAGCACTCCTGACATATGGTTGTCAAGCCTCTGCTTAAAGACCTCCAAAGAAGGAGACTCCACCACACTCCTTGGCAGCAAATTCCACTGTCGAACAGCTCTTACTGTCAGGAAGTTCTTCCTAATGTTTAGGTGGAATCTTCTTTCTTGTAGTTTGGATCCATTGCTCCGTGTCCGCTTCTCTGGAGCAGCAGAAAACAACCTTTCTCCCTCCTCTATGTGACATCCTTTTATATATTTGAACATGGCTATCATATCACCCCTTAACCTCCTCTTCTCCAGGCTAAACATGCCCAGCTCCCTTAGCCGTTCCTCATAAGGCATCGTTTCCAGGCCTTTGACCATTTTGGTTGCCCTCCTCTGGACACGTTCCAGTTTGTCAGTGTCCTTCTTGAACTGTGGTGCCCAGAACTGGACACAGTACTCCAGGTGAGGTCTGACCAGAGCAGAATACAGTGGCACTATTACTTCCCTTGATCTAGATGCTATACTCCTATTGATGCAGCCCAGAATTGCATTGGCTTTTTTAGCTGCCGCGTCACACTGTTGGCTCATGTCAAGTTTGTGGTCAACCAAGACTCCTAGATCCTTTTCACATGTACTGCTCTCAAGCCAGGTGTATCTTGTATCTTGTATTTGTGCCTCTCATTTTTTTTGCCCAAGTGCAATACTTTACATTTCTCCCTGTTAAAATTCATCTTGTTTGTTTTGGCCCAGTTCTCTAATCTGTCAAGGTCGTTTTGAAGTGTGATCCTGTCCTCTGGGGTGTTAGCCACCCCTCCCAATTTGGTGTCATCTGCAAATTTGATCAGGATGCCCTTGAGTCCATCATCCAAGTCGTTGATAAAGATGTTGAATAAGACCGGGCCCAAGACAGAACCCTGTGGCACCCCACTAGTCACTCTTCTCCAGGATGAAGAGGAACCATTGATGAGCACCCTTTGGGTTCGGTCAGTCAGCCAGTTACAAATCCACTGAGTGGTAGCATAGTCAAGACCACATTTTACCAGCTTCTTTACAAGAATATCATGGGGCACCTTGTCAAATGCCTTGTTGAAATCAAGGTAGGCTACATCCACTGCGTTCCCTTCATCTACCAGGCTTGTAATTCTGTCAAAAACGAGATCAGGTTAGTCTGACATGACTTATTTTTCAGAAATCCATGCTGACTATTGGTGATCACAGCATTCCTTTCTAGGTGCTCACAGACTGTTTGCTTAATGATCTGCTCCAGAATCTTCCCTGGTATTGATGTCAGACTGACTGGGCGGTAATTATTTGGGTCCTCTCTTTCCCCTTTTTGAAAATAGGGACAACATTTGCCCTCCTCCAGTCTGCCGGGACTTCGCCTGTTCTCCAGGAATTCTCAAAGATGACTGCCAGTGGTTCTGAGATCACATCTGCCAGTTCTTTTAATACTCTTGGAAGCAGTTCATCTGGCCCTGGAGACTTGAATACATCTAAACTAGCCAAGTATTCTTGTAATATCTCCTTAGTTATTCTGGGCTGTGTTTCCTTTGCTGAATCATTTGCTCCAAATTCTTCAGGTCGGGCATTGTTTTCTTTATCGGAGAAGACTGAGGCAAAGAAGGCATTGAGGAGTCCAGCCCTTTCTCTGTCCCCTGTTTGCATTTCACCATCTTCTCCTCTGAGTGACCCCACTGTTTCTTTGTTCTTCCTTTTGCTACGGACATACCCATAAAAGCCTTTTTGTTGCTTTTAACCTCTCTAGCAAGCCTGAGTTCATTCTGTGCTTTAGCTTTTCTGACTTTGTGTCTACACGTGCTGGCTATTTGTTTGAATTCCTCTTTGGTGGTTTCCCCCCTTTTCCATTTTTTGTACACATCCTTTTTTAATCTTAACTCAGTTAAAGAGTTATTGGGGAACAATGGTTTGCAAAAATGTGTATATTAGGGCAAACTGCACAGAAAATAAGTTTGTTAGGAGAAATTCATATGGAATTCCTGGTGAATTATATTTTAGGCTTATTTTTTAAATCGCAAATTGCTGCAGAAATGAAAGCTTGGGAAAATGAGAAATGGAGAAATCCAAAATGGACAGAGCCATCTATTCATACCAGGGAACTCACTGGACTCAGCAAGGCTTGTGTCCGAATGGACTTGTATAGGCTTGGCACTTTTAAGTAGTTAAAATGGTCCCACTTTAAGAATGCTGAAAACCTAGAAATCAGGGGTATTATTTTTTTTTACTGCCTCGTGTAACGTAATGCACTGTGAAATG